ATTGTCACTGCTGTCAACGTCGCCCCCGGAAACCCGGACTTCGTGGCCCCCTCTTGAAACAACATGTCGCCCAGCGTCCTCGTTTGGTCTGCTGGGTTAATGATCCTCAATGACCTCAGCAGCGCGCCGATCACCGGTTGGATGACTGGGCAAGTGAGCATGCAGTGGGCTAGGGTTTCTGGCTCTCCACAGTGTGGACAGCACCCCCTGGCTCCGAGGAACACCAGCCTCCCCCCCACCTGTAGGTTCTTGCTGTGCATCCTCAGCAGCACGTCTCTTGCTCTGTACGGGATCACCAGCGAGTCTCTTCTTTCTCTTACCGCCTTCCAGTCTATTCTTTTTCCCCACTCCTCTTCCCACTCGTGTCTCCGTCTGGACACCACCACTGGCCCTGCCAGCGCCCTCCTAATAACTTTTGGTGCTGCCGGCCTCATATCTTCTCCTACCAGCGATGTCAGACACAGCTTCGCTCTCGGCTCGCCCATCGCGCCAAGCACTTTACCTCCTTTAACTGTCACCGGTGTTACACTCTTAACAGGGAACAAAACCGCGTATGGTCTTTGCGGCGCCACCAGGTTTGTGCCGTCAGGGCACTCCAGATGGTCGGTAGCCACCTCCTCATCCTTGACCCCCCTCACCGTCCAATAGAGAAATTCTTGCGTCCGTGCCAGAACCGTTCGTATCACCTTTGCTGCCGCCACCACTGCTCCCGCTGACCTCTGCACCGTCAGCATCGCCTTCCACTCGTCAGGGACCGCCTCATACGCTTTTTTCGCCCATCTCGCCGATGCCACGCTTCCGAAATCTGCTGTTAGTTCCTTGACGCTTTTTACTTCCCTGCTACCATCTCCTCTGGTGATGAGCAGGTCTCCCAGTCTGGTTGTCCGGATTCCTGCTGCCCCCTGGCGGTTCCCGAACGGGCTCCCCCCCCTGAACATGATTCTTCGGTTGAAACATAGCATCTCGCGCTCCGCTTCCCACCCATTCGATGGCGCCGGAAGGTCTGCAAACGGGGACTCCCAGAAAACTTCTGCTATCGCCTTCCACCTCTTGCTACCTTTTCCCCAATGTCTGCCTGCAGTCTTGTGGGCGAAAAAAGTCGCCACTCCCTGCGGAAGCGCCGCCGCCTTCTCCGACAACCACCGCTTGGTAACGTCTTGCTCCGTAAGAAATTTCCCCACCTGCCGTATCGCCAAGCTGTCAATCCGTTCCTTCGGGTCGACTAGCCCCAAACCACCATCCTTTTTTGGCAGACGAGCCAGCTCTCCGCTCCATAGTACAAAGATCTTCTCCGCCGTCCCTTCCCCTTTTGATACATAGTTGTCACACGTCTTCCGGATTTTCTCCCACAGCTCCTCCGGCGGCGGGTAAATCTGCGCTTGAAATAGAAGAATCGGCATAGTGTAGTTGTTGATAATCGTCACTCTCGCAGCTGTCAGCAGATGATGGCTTTCCCACTTCGCTAACTCCTTCTTCCCCTTTTCCCATGCCTTCTCCCAGGAGGGGCATGCTTCTCCGTCCGGCGTCACCCAGACCCCCAGTAGCCGTTCTGGAACCCCTGTCTCCGCCCACTTGAACGTCACCCCCGGTAATGTCGTTCTGCCTTTGTTCCTTCCCAGCGGCATGACAATCGATTTGTCTCGGTTGATGTGTAGCCCCGACAGCTCCCCGAACCAGTCAAGAGCCCCTGCCGCAGCCTGCAGCTGAGCTTCTCCATTTAGAAGTAGGAAGGTGTCATCCGCGTACCCTACGTATGACACCACCTCCCCGCCTTCCGCCTTGATCCCCAGACCTCTTTTCCTGACTTCCGCACAGAGCGGCTCCAGAGCACACAGAAAAAGGTAAGGCGCTAACGGGCATCCTTGCCTCAACCCCCTCTGCATCTCCACTCGCTCGCCTAACCAGCCGTTTATTGCCAATCTGGTCCCCGAGCCCTTGTGCAGGCCCGCCGTCCATTTGACAAACTGCCCCGGCAGCCCGAGTTTCTCCAGCGTCTTGAAGAGGAAAGGCCGCGATACTGTATCGTACGCCTTCTGGAAATCCACCAGCAGGAGGTACCAGTCCTCCCCATCATTATCCGCCGCTTCAATCGCGTCTGCAACCAGCGCCACCGCGTCCGCCAAACTGCGACCCGGTATGAACCCGTGTTGTTCTTTCGAGATTATATGATGCAGCTCTTGCTTCAACCTGTTCGCCAGCACCCTCGCCAGTACCTTGTAAGCGGTCGTAAGCAGCGTTATCGGCCTGTAGTTGGTCAGCAAGTCCTTCTCTCCCTTCTTGTGCAGCAGGACTGTTACCGCTGTAGTCAGCGACTCCGGTAATGCCCCTGTTGCCTCGAAATATCTGACGAACCTCATGAAAGCCCCCCCCAACAGGTCCCAGTGCTCCACGAAAAGCTCCGCCGGGAGTCCGTCTAGTCCCGGTGACTTCCCTCTTGGCAACCCTTCCAGCGCCTCCTTCACTTCCTTCTCCGTCCACGCGGCCCCGAGCTTGACTACCGCTTCCGCCGGCAAAACCCTGTCCACGCCGAAGTCAATCTGCTCCCAGCTCAGCCCTGAATGATCCTCACTGAAGGCTTCCGCGAAATGAGCCGAGGCTGCCTTGAGCACCGCTTGCGATCCTCTGCACCTTTCCCCTTTGAATCGCACTTCCTCAATCACCGTGCGCTCCTTCCTCATCTTGACCTTGGCTGACAGGAAGGGCGACGGGATCTCCCCCTGCAGTTCCTCAGTGAGCCCCGCGAAGACCTCCAACCTCTCCCGTTCGTACTCTCGATAGGCCTCCAACTGCTCCTCCCTGGTAAGTAGTAGCGCCTTCATTGCGTCGTCTGTCGGTCCTCCCATGACCAGATGTCGCATCCGTTCGACTTCCTCCGTCAGATGCAACTGCGTCGCTGCCACCCTCTTCCTCTCTTCCTTCTCATGCGCACGTAGCCCCGTCGTCAGCCTCAAGATCACCTTCTCCAGCGATCCTTGGCCCGACCGGTTGAGCGCCTCTGCGACCGCTTTTATGATCTTCCTCACCCCCTCCTTCCTTTTCCTTGTTGCGTGAAACCTCCAGAGTCCCGGGCCAGACGCGTGCTCCGATACGAATTTAAGCCGGATCCTGATGGCGAAACTGTGGTCCGACAGCTTTCTCGGCACCTCCACATGGCGAGCTCCTTCCAGGTTGCCTAGCAGCGACACGGAGACCAACGCTCTGACAATGCGAGACTTCGACCCCGTGGCTCTCACCCTGAAGGTGTACTCCTTTTCCGCGGGGAACAGCGCACGGAAAGCATCGCGGAGATCGTGAGGCTGCCAGGCGTCCACGAATCGCTGGTTCTCCCTCCCCGACCCTGTTTCTGGCGACCGGTCTAACTCGGGATCAGCGATTATGTTGAGGTCCCCCACAACCACCAGATGCTTCGAGGCCGGTTGTGCTTGCACGAAAGGCTCTAAATGCGCGGCGATCACGCTGGCTGGCGCACTGAAAATTGCTCCCCTAAACCTTCGACTAAGAAACGGAGCATCTAGAATTGGAACTTGCGAAGTGAGGACACGGCTGGGGTAAATAACGAGAAGATTGGGTTGAAGGTGGTTGGGCGATGAGTTAGTAGTGGTGTGTGGGGATTGTGTGGTTCATTCCCAAACCGAACTTGTGCATGAAGGTGTTTGTGTGGCAGGTTGTGTGACAGGTGGCGACAGGTGGCAACATGAAGCGAAAGAATCGTGAGCAACAATCATTCGAAAGAAAGTAAGTTTATAGGTTAAGTAAACTTGATTGTGAACAACCAGTTTAGCGTAGCGGTTAAAGGCCAAACTCCGAATTACTCAAAGCTGGTCAACTCGGTAAAACCTAAGTTCGGGAGGAGGTTGGGGGAATGGTTCGGAACAAACGCGAACGCGATGGTTCGCGAAAAGAATGGGCGAAAGCAAAGTGAATCGCAACACTGGGCCCCAAGCAACCGCCCCAAACTGGAAAGTCAATGCCTTTGCTGAATTACCGTCACGCCACCAAACTGTCATCACTTTTGGGCACAGCCTAAGTCACTCGACAGGCCGAGCAGCAGGGGAAAACCGCGACGCTCCAGTTCCTATCTGGTTCCACGCAACGAACGACGACGACAGTCATGACGACGACTCCCTCACTCAATGTGAGCGTTTAGGGCACAAAGAGCACCATAGCATTCAAGATGCCACGCCACTATTAGAATTGGGAGAATAGATGCGAATGTGAGAGCACGAGTCGCGTAGGGAAAACGTAAGGCGAATGTGACAGCAAGCGTCGCGTAGGGAAAACGTAAGGCGAATGTTAGAGCAAGAGTCGCGTAGGGAAAACGTGAGGCGAATTTGACAGCAACAGTCGCGTAGGGAAACCGTGAGGCGAATGTGAGCGCAGGGGTCGCGTAGGGAAAACGTAGGGCAAATGTGAGCACAAGAGTCGCGTAGGGAAAATGTGAGGCGAATGTGAGAGCAAGAGACGCGGAGGGAAAACGTGAGTCGAATGTGAGAGCAAGAGACGCGGAGGGAGGGCGAGACGCGCATGCGAGAGCAAGATACGCGGAGGTAATACGTGAGGCAAAGGTGAGACCAAAAAACGCGGAGGTAAAACGCGAGGCGCTTCAGGGAAAGCGAGAAACGCGGAGGGAAAACGTATTCGCAAATGCGAGAGCAAGATGCGCGGAAGCAGGGAAGGGGGAGGCGCATGTCTCTGGCAAAAAACGCGGAGGAAAAACGAGATGCGCATGTGAAAGGATGAAACACGTAGAGAAACGAGACGCGGATGTGAGAGGATGGAGGGCGGAGAGATGACGGGAAGCGCATGCGAGAGGAAGAAGGGGGCGAGGGAAACGTGAGGCGCATGCGAGAGGAAGAAGAGAGGAGGGAAAACGTGAGGCACATGCGAGGGGAAGAAGAGAGGGGGGGGGAGAAACGCGGGGCGCATGCGAGAGGAAGAAGAGGCAAGGGGAAACGTGAAGCCCATGCGAGAGGAAGAAGTGAGGGGGGGAAACGCGAGGCTCACGCGAGAGGAAGAAGAGAGGAGGGGAAACGTGAGGTGCATGCGAGAGGAAGAAGAGAGGGTTTGAAAAGTGAGGCACATGCGAGAGTTCGGAAGAGAGGAGGGGAAACGAGAGGTGCATGCGAGAGGAAGAAGAGAGGAGGGGAAACGTCAGGCGCATGAGAGAGGAGGAAGAGAGGAGGGGAAACGTGAGGCGCAGTAAAGAGGAGGACGAGAGGACGAGTAACCGGGAGGCGCATGTGAGAGGAAAAGGAGAGGAGGGGAAACGTCAGACGCATGAGAGAGGAAGAAGAGAGAAGGGGAAATGTGAGGCGCATGCCTGAGGAAGGGGAGAGGGGGGGAAACGTCATGCGCATGAGAGAGGATGAAGAGAGGAGGGGAAACGTCAGGTGCATGAGAGAGGAGGAAGAGAGGAGGGGAAATGTGAGGCGCATGAGAGGGGGAGAGATGTTGAGCGGAAATGTGAGGCGCGTGCGAGAGTAAGAAAAGAGGAGGGGAAAGGTGAGGCTCATGCGAGGGGAAGCAGAGAGGGGGGGGAACACGAGGCGCACGCGAGAGGAAGAAACTCGGAGATCAAACGTGAGGCGCATGCAAATGAAAGAAGAGAGGAGGGGAAACGTGAGGTGGATGTGAGAGGTACAAGAGAGTGGGGGAAACGTGAGGCGCAGGTGCTGAGGAAGGGGATAGGAGGGGAAACGTGAGGCGCGATAGGAAGAAGAGAAACGTGAAACGTGAAATCCCCCCTGCTTTCTTCAATTTGCCCCTTCCCCCCCCAGCACCCTTGAGATTCCCCCCTCCTCTCTTCGGTTTTCCCCGTGCTCAATTCCCCCTGCTGTCTTCAGGGTACCCCCAGCTTTCTTCATATTAACCCTGCTTTCATCATCTCACCCCTGCTTTCTTCATATTCCCCTTGCTTTCGTCAGTTTCCGCTCTGCTTTCTTCATCTCCCCCCTGCTTCCTTCAGTTTCCCCCCTGTTTTCTTTATCTCATCCCTGCTTTCTTCATCTCATCCCTGCTTTCTTCATCTCCCACCTGCTTTCCTCATCTCACCCCTGCTTTCTTCAGTTTCCCCCCATATGTCTTCAACTCCCCTCTGCTTTCTTCATCTCCCCCCTGCTTCCTTCAGTTTCCCCCCTGTTTTTTTCATCTCATCCCTGTTTTCTTCATCTCACCCCTGTTTTCTTCATCTCCCCTCTGCTTTCTTCATCTCCCCCTGCTTTCTTCATCTCCCCCCTGCTTTCTTCAGTTTCCCCCCTGCTTTCACTCATCTCACCCCTGCTTTCTTCATATTCCCCCTGCTTTCGTCAGTTTCCCCTCTGCTTTCTTCATCTCCCCCCTGCTTCCTTCAGTTTCCCCCCTATTTTCTTCATCTCATCCCTGCTTTCTTCATCTCCCACCTGCTTTCCTCATCTCACCCCTGCTTTCTTCAGTTTCCCCCCATATGTTTTCATCTCCCCTCTGCTTTCTTCATCTCCCCCCTGCTTCCTTCAGTTTCCCCCCTGTTTTTTTCATCTCATCCCTGTTTTCTTCATCTCACCCCTGTTTTCTTCATCTCCCCCCTGTTTTCTTCATCTCACCCCTGCTTTCTTCAGTTTCCCCCCATATGTCTTCATCTCCCCCCTGCTTTCTTCATCTCCCCCCTGCTTTCTTCAGTACTAACGCGAGGTGCGGCTGGTGCAGTGAAGGGGGGGACGGCCGTCGGAGCGAAGGGGGTGTCAGATGGAGCGGCGAGAGGGGCAGGGGGCGTAAGGGAGTGCGGAGCAGAGCGAGCTGGGTTCAGAGTGGGACCGGAGGAGGCTTCACCCCCTCCCGCATACTGCTCGCGTCTGTGCCATGGTGGTGTGCTGGTCCCAGGGCTTGGTGTGGAGTGCCAAACAGTGGACGAGCATGGGGTCCGAGGCATCGGGTTCCGAGTCTCATGTGTGGTAGACTGTGTCTTGGGTTCAGAGTGGGTTGACAATGGCATGGCATAGCATGTCACATGGTATGAGCGCACCTTGGCCAGCAACGGTCATGTGGCCATTCTCCACCTGCAGGCACAACCCTTCGACCTCGTGCTCATGGACGTGCAACCCTGCAGGTGGGGGCATGAACGCGTGCATGCTTGTGCGTGCTCATGCGTGCATATGCGTATCACTGAGTGTTTGCACGCTCGTCTGCATGCATGGCTCAACGCGCATTCCCTCAAGCTGTACTACACCTTGCCCGTGTGGCACCCCTCATCCTCATCCCCGTCCCGCTGTCCCTGCTTGCGCTGCTCTCCCCTCAGCGCCGCTGACGCTGCACAAGGAACTTCAACACTGGCAGCAGCAACTTCAAACAGTAGCAGTACCAGCATGAGCACCAGTAGTAGCATCAGCAGTGTTGGCATCAGCATCATCAGCAGGGAATGGGGAGGTGCGGGCAAAGGAGGCAGTGCATGCGAAGATCAGGCGGACTTTGTAACGCTCATGGCAGCGGGGGGACTGGCTGCCAGCGAGGCTGCTGCAGCTGCCATCACTTGTGTGGAAAGATGGACTTGTGCATACAATGGAAAACAGACCCAGCAGTTCACTTGTGTCACTTGTGTGGAAAGATGGACTTGTGGCCAGCTTGTGCATACAGTGGAAAACAGATTTAAGCACCTTCATCTCCTGTAATTAGTACGAGAGGTCTATGGTTAGCCTCGATGAGTTTGCCAGGCTGGCCCTAATCAAAACGGAGCTAACACAAAGTTCTTTTCGGAGTTGATTAAATACCTGGGCCAGCTGCTTATTGAAAAAGACTGGGTTCAGGTTTGGACATCGTAACAACTGGGTCCAACTGTCAATTGACAGGCTGAAACATTCAAGTTTACAACACATACATTGCATGGTCCGCCGCGTTACAAGTCAGCTAATCAATCTGGGAGCTGGGTGTGAAGTGTCATCCTTTAATGAATGGAGCATGGAGCTGCTGCCAACCCTCATCACGTGCCCCTTGCCAAACGACAGCGTCTTGTTGCTGCTGCTGTCCGCCGTGAAGGCCGTGGGGCGCGCGTTGCTCCTGCCCCTGTTTAGCCCCTAGAAGCTCCGGGGCGACGAGATGATGCGCCGCCGCGCCAGGTACTCGTCGGGCGCCAACGGCAGCCCAGCGCGGTGCGCATGGCGGTGAGCAGCTCGGGGAAGCTCTCGAGGGCGTCGAGCTGGTCGTCCAGCAGCAGCAGGTACACCTCCACCTCCGTCTTCGCCTGCTGGTGGGGAGGAGGGGGAAGGGGGGGGTGGGGGTGTTCAAGGGGGGGAAGGACATTGGAATGGGGCAACGAGGGCAGCAGTGTGATGGCGTGTGAGAACCCGCCAGACTCGTATGCCATAGTTGTGCCACATCCCTGGCCCTTCTCGCACATTCACTGCTCTTCCCCCCCAAGCAAATTGAATGACCATCCCCTCCAACTCAGCACCTGCCATGGGAAGAGATGCTGCTGCAATATGAGGTGCAAGGAGTAGTACACGGAGTAGTGTGCGAAGGCTGCGAGGAGATGAATTGATGTTGAAGAGGACATGTGCGACATGTGCGTGGACTGAGGGGGGCGTGTAGAGACAGCGAGGAAAGGGGTGAAGGGAGAGGGGAAGGGGAAGGAGGGTTTTAGGGTGCATGTGCTGTGGTGGTGTGTACTGACTCCAATGCTATGATGGCTGGGCACGACATGTGTTTGGACTGGCAGAGAGAGTGTGCGTGAGGGAGAGAGGGGCTATTGTGTTGGGTGGCAGCACGTGGTGCATGTGACGAGGAGGTGAGCCGTACCGAAAGAACGTGGCGCAGACGCATGAAGGTGATCAGCGCGGGAGATCCCAATTACGGTGTTGTTGTTATTAGGGGATGCGGCACCTGGGGGAGGTGATACCGGGGGGAGGTGGTACATGGGAGATGTGGTACCACTCACCTTCCGCTCTTCGCACATTCGGCGCTCTCCCCCTCCTCTTTGTACCATCCCCTCCAACCTAACACCAAGTAGATGGCGGATGAGATGCTGCTGAGATCTGAGGCGTAGTGGGTAGTACACGGAGGAGTGTGCGACGGGTGCCAGGGGGTTGGAGTGTGTTCCACGAGATTGCTGGAGGACAAAGAGGAGGGAGCAGCAGGAGGGATGCGAGATTCAGCACTAAGGGGAAGGGGGGGTAGTGGAGGGGGAAGAGGTAGGGAATGGTGCAGGGAGGCGGATCGCTAGTGCATGTTCCTAAGTAGCGAGGCATCCCCCCACCCTGTCATGCCCCCACCATGTGCACTAGACTGTGGAGGGGAAGGGGGGAAGCAGAGGGGGAATAGTCTCTGTCCTGAACGCAGCGGGGTGAGGGTAAGTAGCGGGGCGGGAATAAATGGGCAGCAGGAAGAGCGAGGAGCGCACTGGCAGAAGTGGCAGCAGACGGGAGAGCAAAGTGGGGTGGCGGGCGAGGAGACCCTGCAGGGATGCAGCAAGCATGGCAGTGAGGGCAAGCATGGCAGTGAGGGCAAGCAAGGCAGTGAGATTAAGCAAACAAGCAGGCACATGGAAAAGCATGCACATGGACAAGAGTGGGCATAGACATGCACACTCATAAACATACATGCACATAGACATTCATGCGCATAGACATGCATGCACATAGATGTGCATGCACGTAGATATTCATGCACATAGCAGAGCATGCACGTGGACATGCATGCACATAGACATGCACCCACCTACCCACCCACCCACGCACCCACCATCAATGGATAGCAGCTGACGGTGATGTGCGGTGTAGTAGCCAGCGTCACAGGGCGATGTGCGCGCCACAGAGGTGCCACGGAAGCGCGGCGACCGATGGCATGCTAGCAGGGCGCGCGCCTGGTGGCGGGGAGGGGGATGGGGAGGGGGATGTGAGGGGATGCAGATAGAAGGAGGTGGGGGGAGTGCATTGGCCTGAATGGACTGCAGGGACGCAGGGAAGGGGACATGGGGAAGCATGTGAGGGGACATGGGGAAGAAGGGAACGGGAGGGGGGGAAGCAGGTAACCGGACATGGGGAAGCAAGTAAGAGGATGGGGGGAAGCAGGGAAGGGGACATGGGAAAGCAAGTAAGAGGGAAGCAGGGAAGGGGAAGGGGGGACGCGCGTAAGAGGATGGGGGGAAGCAGGGAAGGGGACATGGGGAAGCAGGGAAGGGGAGGGGGGGAAGCAGAAATGCGGATGGGGGGAAGCCGGGCTTGGGATAAGGGGAGAGAGTGAAGAGGATGGGGGGACGCAGGGAGGGGGATGGGGGGAAGCAGGGAAGGGGATGGGGGGAAGCAGGGAGGGGGATGGGGGGAAGCAGTACAAGGGATGGGGGGAAGCAGGGAAGAGGATGGGGGGACGCGGAGGGAAGGGGATGGGGGGAGCATGGGAAGGGGATGGGGGGAAGCAGGGCACGGGATGGGGGGAAGCAGGGAGGGGGATGGGGGGAAGCAGGGAGGGGGATGGAGGGAAGCAGGGAGGGGGATGGGGGGAAGCAGGGAGGGGGATGGGGGGAAGCAGGGAGGGGGATGGGGGGAAGCAGGCGTGAGGATGTAGGGAAGCAGGGAAGGGGATGGGAAGAAGCAAGGCAATGGACATGGGGAAGCAGGGAAGGGGATGGGGGGAAGCAGGGCAGGGAAGGGGGAAAGTAGGGCACGGGATGCGGGAAAGCAGGGAAGGGGATGGGAAAAAGCAGGGAAGGGGGGGGAAGGAAGGCGATTATTAGCAGGAGGGATAAGAGGGAGTAGGGGGAGAAAACGTAGGGTGACACGTGTGCGAGGTGGGAAGGGAGGCGGGAGGGAAGGCGAGGTCGACGAGCAGTGGATGGCAGGGCGACGGGGAAAGCGAGGGCGACGGGGAAAGCGAGGGCAACGGGGAGAGAATTGACGGGGAAAGCAAGGGCGACGGAGAGAGAATTGACGGGGAAAGCAAGGGCGAAGGAGAGAGAATTGACGGGGAAAGCGAGGGCGATGGAGAGAGAATTGACGGGGAGAGGATCGGACGAGCGGAAGGGAGGGCGACGAGACGAACGGACGGCGACGGAACAGAAGCTCGGGCGACGGGAAGGGTAGGCGACGGGAAGGGAAGGCGACGGGAAGGGAGGCAGAGGGGCGCCCACGGGGCGACGGGAAGGGAGAGCGACGGGAACAAGGGAGGGCAACCGGCGGATCTTACGCGGCAGCAGCACATTGCATTCAAGAAGTTGAGATCGCGCTGCGATGGTGGGGAGGTGCGCACTAGCACGGAAATTGGAAAGCACGGCGCTGCTGGCCACCTTGCTTCATGCAAGTCGGAATCAAATTTCACTGCGACTGTTGGGGGGCAAGGGAAGGGGATGGGGGGAGCATGGGAAGGGGATGGGGGGAAGCAGGGCACGGGATGGGGGGAAGCAGGGAGGGGGATGGGGGGAAGCAGGGAGGGGGATGGAGGGAAGCAGGGAGGGGGATGGGGGGAAGCAGGGAGGGGGATGGGGGGAAGCAGGGAGGGGGATGGGGGGAAGCAGGCGTGAGGATGTAGGGAAGCAGGGAAGGGGATGGGAAGAAGCAAGGCAATGGACATGGGGAAGCAGGGAAGGGGATGGGGGGAAGCAGGGCAGGGAAGGGGGGAAAGTAGGGCACGGGATGCGGGAAAGCAGGGAAGGGGATGGGAAAAAGCAGGGAAGGGGGGGGAAGGAAGGCGATTATTTGCAGGAGGGATAAGAGGGAGTAGGGGGAGAAAACGTAGGGTGACACGTGTGCGAGGTGGGAAGGGAGGCGGGAGGGAAGGCGAGGTCGACGAGCAGTGGATGGCAGGGCGACGGGGAAAGCGAGGGCGACGGGGAAAGCGAGGGCAACGGGGAGAGAATTGACGGGGAAAGCAAGGGCGACGGAGAGAGAATTGACGGGGAAAGCAAGGGCGAAGGAGAGAGAATTGACGGGGAAAGCGAGGGCGACGGAGAGAGAATTGACGGGGAGAGGATCGGACGAGCGGAAGGGAGGGCGACGAGACGAACGGACGGCGACGGAACAGAAGCTCGGGCGACGGGAAGGGTAGGCGACGGGAAGGGAAGGCGACGGGAAGGGAGGCAGAGGGGCGCCCACGGGGCGACGGGAAGGGAGCGCGACGGGAAGGGAGAGCGACGGGAACAAGGGAGGGCAACCGGCGGATCTTACGCGGCAGCAGCACATTGCATTCAAGAAGTTGAGATCGCGCTGCGATGGTGGGGAGGTGCGCACTAGCGCGGAAATTGGAAAGCACGGCGCTGCTGGCCACCTTGCTTCATGCAAGGCGGAATCAAATTTCACTGCGACTGTTGGGGGGCAAGGGAAGTTTGATGAAGGGAGCGGCTGCACTGTCGAGTGAGTTATTCAATCTAGGTTAGACTGGATATCCGGAATAGCAGATGTAAGGACTGGTTAGATTTATCGCCGTCTGCCGGCAACAACCCTCGCCCTCCCCCTTTCGACCTCCGCCCCCGCGCTACCATCCCTCCGGCCCGGCCTACAGCGCCCGATAGATCTCTCAACGCGCGTGGTTCCGCCGTGCGCGGAACAACGCACTACTGCGCGTGCCTAACGCCCTCTCCTATCCGCCGTACGCCGCGCAAGGCTCGTCCACGGGACTATTTCCCCCAATTACCTTGTCTCTGCAGGGGAAATGTCGTCTGCGCGATTTCCACTTCCGCCGATCTTTGTCGCGGCGCTCGGGAAAAATACACAGATTGCGGGGTCTCCTCTCATCGGTAAAGAGATTGGGAACAGCGGGAGAGCATGGGCAGAGACTGACGTCGATTTGGAAACCCGAATTACAAGCACGTAGGCTGGGCTTTCCTAATAGCCTACCCCTGCATGCTCGTATTTTCGAAGGGGTTGTGCTGCAAGACTCATTCTGGGCTTGTCGAAACTCGCACAGGCCAACGCATGGTAACCAAGCAGGTGGGGAACCCTCGACGTGGTTCGGCAGAGGAAGGTGCGGGAGGCACAGTGTCACCAGTTTGCTTTTGACTTTGTAATTCGGGCTTTGGGCTTTAACGTGTTGCGTTCGCGATCGAGAGGTGGGGCGATCGACTCTTGTGGTTTGAGGGTCGGAACCTTGGAAATTGGGCTGCTTGGTCTGCGCCCATCCTTTTGGGGATGTGTTCGCTAAATGTGCCAGACAAGTATCGATCCCCCACCCTTCCGCATAAACTTTTTTTGGGACAGATTTTGGACAAGGGTAATTTTGGATAGAAACTGTCAATTTGTTCTAAGCAAAATGTTATAGGAATGATATACAGAATACTGGAATTTCACTAAAGCATACAGGTTGGTAGTGTTTCAGTAGACAAACGATCACATCCAAATCCCTACTAAAGGAGTCCACCAGTTACGCATACTAAAATGGCGTTCGACATTTTTGAGATGTCAAAAATACCGTTCCCGTTTCTGCCTTTTGTTCCACCCCTCCGTTGTCACTTCTTTCAGCTCAGCGTTGCAAAGTACTAGGAAGCAAGGAGAAGACCGTGGCACCGGAGGACACTTGCTCCACGATTCTGAGAGACTTGTTCAACGGCAGTCTTCAGGGCTTTCGGCTTCTCAAAAACCAGAAGTCGTGTTCCGAACTTCTTACGCTCGGCTCGGTCATCTGCGTGCCGCGATAGGGCTGGGCGGATAAAGCAATGTCAGAGAGTGCTGGCTTTGCATCTAACCTGGGGATCTTCATGGTAGCGTGTTCCCGAGGCTTTAAGCTGTACAATTGCTGCATCTGGTGTATTCACATGTACCGGTAATGTACTATAATGATTATATAGTACTTGGGAATATGAATGAGATTCTTTTGTCCAAGGATCAAATGCGCATGTGCTGCTGACTTGTGTTGGGTGAGCACGTTACTCTCCGTCGTTGCGAGAGGAACGACCGTATCAGCCGCCGCGAAACACGAAACGATCGGCGCGAAAGTCGACCTGAAACGAATTAAGGCATGCGTCGCCGATCGCGCGACTCGAGAGAATTCGCAGGTTTGGCGCGGAATCTTCCGATACTTGCGCCTAGTGAGCGTTCCGCGACTTACGCGTCATATCGGACTTGCGACGCAGAGAATGACGCGGAAACGACGCGCAAGGTAGCATGGCGCATGGCGAAAGTGCCGGAGAAGCGTACAGATGCACGAATAGTGCTACTAGCTAAGGTCGCGCCAGAATAACAAGGATTTCAGGGAATTGTATTGCAACCAGCAGACCCGTGCTCGTTACAGAAAGGTCCGATAATTATAACCCTGGTGTGTTCCAAGCACAGAAGAAACAACTTATACACTCCTGAAAGTAGTGATTCACATGTGTATTATTGCTTAAACACACTCGGTGAAGGAAGAGCTGAAAACTCAATGCTGCAAGAAAAAAAACAATCATCATAAACTAATCATCGAATACTTTTTGTTCTTCTTTGAGTAGCAAGGCGCGGAGAAATAGCTCTCCTCTCGCCATCTCCCTGACAGCCGTCTGATCGTCGCCGATGAACCATGTAGAATCAACGGCTGTGATCTGCATGCAATCAGAGTGGCCAACTGTGAGCTCAATGTTGAATTATCTGAGAATGGAAACAAGAAAACAGAAAGTAGGGGTCCTTTCCATGCGTACCTTCCCATGTGTGTTCATCTCAAATCTGGTCTTGCCGACCAGAAAAATCGCATCGTCCTCCTCCTTATCCTCTTTACTACCTCGCCTACCTCTCCCTTCTCTCCCACTAGCTTTTCTCGCACCAGCATCTCCCCCACCACTGTTACTGCTACTTCCATTCATCCGACTTTCCTCCTCCTCCTCTTCCTCTTCCTCATCCCCTTGACTCAATTTATCTCTTCCCTTCTCAGCACCAAGTTTCCCGTTCCCATGCACTCCCCTCCTCTCATCCCGCCCCTCCGCTGCAGGAAGGTTTCTCCTGATCTCCGCCTCATGCTCAGGAAGGTTCCTCTCCCACCAGTCTGACAGCCCCATGCTTGCCACTGCTTCCCGCCCGCTCTTAGCTAAGAGTATGGTCCAGAGGGCCGTGATCCAGCGGCGGTCTGAAGGGGGGTAGTGGACGAAAGGATCAAGTTACAGGTGATAATGTATATATATATTCTCATGCCTGGTAGTGGGATGCATTCGGGTGAGACAGCCCCATGCCTGCTGCTGGTCCAGAGGGCAGTGATCCAGCGGCGGTCTGGAGAGGGGTGTAGGGAGAAAGGATTAAGTCGTTGAGATGCCTGCCGGTACTGCTTCCCGCCCGCTCTTAGCTAAAAGGATGGTCCAGGGGGCAGTGATCCAATAACAGTCTGGAGGAGGGTGATGAGAAAAAGAATGAGATTACTGAACATGCTTGTCTGCCACTGATTCCCACCGGCTCTTAGCTAAGAGGATGGGCCAGAGGGCCGTAATCCAGCGACGGCCTGAAGGGAGGTGTAGGGTGAAAGGATCAGGTTATGAAACATGCCTCTTTACCATGCTTCCCGGCCGCTCTTAGCTAAAAGTATGGTCCAGAGGGCCGTGATCCAGCGGCGGTCTGGAAGGGGGTGATGGGAAAAGGGGGATTGAGTTATCAAACATGCGTGTCTGCCATGGCTTTCTGCTGGTTCTTAGCTAAGAGAGGATGGTCCAGAGTTGAGGCACCTGGACCTCAAAGGATGGTCCAGAGGGCCGTGATCCATCAGCGGTCTGAAGGATGGTGTTTGGGGAAAAGAACAAGTTACACGTGATAGATTCGAAACCTTCTCAAGATCAAGTTACATGTGATTAGAGTAAAACCTTCTCAGGAGTAAGTTACACGTGACAACATACATCTCTCCTCTCGTCAGCGGAGATTTTAACGTAAGACAGCCCCCCATGCATGGCCCGGCACAGCAGGTGCCCAGCCCACCAGGCGGCTTCACGAGTGTTTCCGGATGACTTTTGAGTCACCATTCCCCGTCGTCCCATGCACTCAAAGGTCATCCCATGCATGGCCCGGCACAGCAGGTGCCCACAGCAGGCGCAGGCGCAGGCGCAGGCGCAGGCGCAGGTGCAGGTGCAGGTGCAGGTGCAGGTGCAGGTGCAGGTGCAGGTGCAGGTGCAGGTGCCCCCCTGCTGACCCCTGCAGCTGTGTGCTTTGAGACTCAACGCTGAGCATGCTAGCGTTGAAATGAACACAAACGGCTCACCTGGTGCCTTCACGAGAGAGGTGGTGCAGATGCAGGTGACCCCCTGCTGACCCCATCAGCTGCGGGCAGTGAGACGTTTCCCAAGCATTGGCATCCCAATATCACACCGATCTTAGCAGCAGCTCACCGGGTGCCTTCACGAGTGTTTCAGAGTAGAGTTGGTGCAGATGCAGGTGTCCCCCAGACGATCCAACCAGCTCTAGCCACTGCTGCCACCTGCGAAGGAAGCATGTATCACAGGATCACTTTTGAGAGGTCTCAAAGTCAAGCGGCTGTAGCCACTGCTGCCACCTGCGAAGAAAAGAAAGCATGAATCACAGGATCAGCCTCACAAAAATCACACGGATCGTTACGATCACAAGAATGCGCCCAAGGGTTCCCTTCCATCCATGCAGTTCATTCATTCCCAGCTACATACAACACATGATGGCTTTAAGTGTTACAAGTGTTACAAGTGTGTTACTGGCAATACAGTCAAACGCAATCTGTGTTTTACACTTCAGAAACACTCACCTCTCTTTGCCTTGCACGCACACCACAGGGTTCTGCACTCGAACCCCCTCCTCCACCAATCCCAGCGCAAAGATATCCGCAGGCTCTTCCCGTTGCGCGTGTGCCTGCGACTATCACTCTCACCTCTCTTTGCCTTGCACGCACACTACAGGGTTCTGCACTCGAACCCCCTCCTCCACCAATCCCTCCATGATTGAAGGCCTACCTTGCAGGGTGCTATGTGGGATTTAGCTCTCAAACACGCTCTCACCTCTCTTTGCCTCTCAAGCACACAACAGGGTTCTGCACTCGAACCCCCTCCTCCACCAATCCCAACGCAAAGATATCCACTCGCTCTTCCCCTTGTGCCTGTGACTGTTGCTGCTGTTGCTCCTGCCGTTGCTGGTGCTGCTCCTGCCGTTGCTGCTTCCGCTGTCGCTGCTGCTGCTGTTGTTTTTCCTCATGACCCTCCATATGTTCCTCCTCCTCTTCCTCCTGTCCCTCCTCTTGCTTCTCCCAGTCCCCACGGCCATCCCCTCCCCCATTCTTCCACGACGTTTCCAAGTTCAAAGGAGGTGTGGCAAGGGTGGGGGAGAGTGCGTGGGGGAGGAAGAGGCGAAGGGCTGTCAGCAGGTCCTGAAGCTTGTCGATCATTGCAGAGGCTGAGGCGTACGGGGGGGGGAGGAGGGGGGAGTTATAAGGGAGAAGGGGGTTCGGGATTAGAGGGGTTAGGGGGGAGAGCGCGTGGGGGAGGAAGAGGCGGAGGGCTGTCCGCAGGTCCTGAAGGTTGTCGATCATTGCAGAGGCTGGGGAGAGAGGGGGGAAACAATGATAGACGGGAATGAGAGGAGGCTAGGTGCGCATTAGACAATGAGAGGGGGGGAGAGTGCGTGGGGGAGGAAGAGGCGAAGGGCTGTCAGCAGGTCCTGAAGCTTGTCGATCATTGCAGAGGCTGGGGGAGGGGGGGTTACAGGGGAGGAAGGGGTTTGGGATTAGATGGGAGGAGGGGGTTAGAGGGGAGAGCGCGTTGGGGAGGAAGAGACGAAGGGCTGTCAGTCGATCATTGCAGAGGCTGGGGGGGGAGGAGGGTAGGGGAGAAGGGAGGGAAGAGAGGGTAATAATATGATAATGGGCAATAGAGAGGCACGACTTTCAATAAGACTTCAAGCCTTTAAGCTACAATGAGGGCATAATCTCGAAAGGTCACCATCTCGAGAGCTGCAATGAGGGCAATGGGGGCAGCCGAAAGCGACAACGATTGCAACCAAAAGTGAGAGAGGATGTGGGAAAACAGGTTTTAGTTGTGCAACACGTAGAAAGAGATGGGCTTGGGCGGTTAAACGAGAGGAGATTTGAGCCTTTACTGTCGATCCCTGGAGGAAGGGCGTAGGAGTAGGAGGCAAACCCACTGACCAAATCCACCCACCCACCGTCCCACCCACCCACTCACCTTCACTGTCGATCTCTGGAGGAGGGGCGTAGTCATAGGGCGTGTCTAGCCCAACACACACCCCCGACCCACCCACCCACCTTCACTGTCGATCTCCGGAGGAGGGGCGTAGTCATACTGTGTGTCTAGCGCCTCCCTCTCGACCACATCCCCCATGTAGGGAAAGAGAGGCCGGAAACACAGGTGGCAATGGATAGACAGACACACACACTACACCCACCCACCTTCACTGTTGATCTCCGGAGGAGGAGCATAGTCATAGGGCGTGTCTAGTGCCTCCCTCTCGATCACATCCCCCATGTAGGGAGAGAAGAAACACTGCAATGGATAGACAGACGCACAGACCGAACCCACTCAGTTACCCCACCAACCCACGCACACACCTTCACTGTCAATCTCTGGAGGAGGGGCATAGTCATATGGAGTGTCTAGCGCCTCCCTTTTGATCACATCTCATCCCCCATGTAGGGAGGCAGACATGGTGGAAACACAGCAAGGAATAGACAGACACACAGCCCAACACGCACCCACTTACCCCACCAACCAACCCTCTCACCTTCACTGTCTATCTCCGGAGGAGGGGCGTAGTCATAGGGCGTGTCTAGAGCCTCCCTCTCGATCACATCGCCCATGTAGGGAAACACCCCAGCAGTGCGAGCTAGATCTGCATGGCACGAACAGCCAATAAGAGCAAAGGGATGGATATTTGGGCACACCAGGAAGGCGCATCACTCTCCTCCCTCTCGATCACATCCCCATGTAGGGAAACACACCGGCCGTGCGGGCTAGATCTGCAGAGAAGCATTGGAAGAGGAGATGGGATATTTAGCCTGTAGTAGGATAGAGGTGTGTCTAGCTGCTCCCTCTCGATCACATCCCCCATGTAAGGGAACACACCGGCCGTGCGGGCTAGGTCTGCAGTGACAAGAGAAGATGGGAAGATGGGAAAACTGGAGATGTGACAGAATATCCTCAAGTGCTACAAACCCTTACAGTCCCCTTACACGTCCTTACACCTCCCCTTACACCTGACACCATTATTGTGCCCCTTGCTTCCATCGTAACCCTGAATGACCTGTGAGTTGACGTAGAGTATAGCGAGTAGATGCAATGCAATCCAAGGAGCCCAGCCCACTTGCTTCAACCCACTTGCCCACTTGTCTCCTTGGAGCCCATTGCATCTACTCGCCTTACCTTCCAACCGTTCTTAAGTCCTCTGCTTTCACCGCAAACCCAAATGCATCTCGAATCGACTCTTCTAGGTTCCTGCTTCTCGAATTGAAACACAGTTTCAGCCACAACCTTGTTACAAAACCCTTGCTTTCGTTTCTTAAGACCTCCTCTAACGGCCCTTGTGCCTTAGGACGTCCCAAAACCATTCATCTTACCCGGAAACCGTTCCTGAGCCTTTAGACGTCTCAAGCAACCCCACCGCCTTACACCCATCCATCTTACCTGGAAATCGCTCTTGAGCGTCCTGCTTCCATCGCAAGCCCCCCACAGGGGCACTCAGCGGGTGCACCTTCCCAGAAGCTTCCATCTCCTCCCACAGGCGAGCCACTGCCTCAAACTCGGCCTCTGCTGCCTCCTCCTCCTGCTCGCCCTCCTCCCACTCCCATCCTGGGATATGCTTGTACTCGTTATGGTTGTACTCGTTATGATAAGACTCGTTGTAGTCGTGTGGAGCTGACTCGGCCGATTCATCTCTGCGGCTTTTGTCACGCTTACTTCTATTATCGTCAGACCAGCTGCCGCCGCCGCTGCTGCTGCCGCCCCCGGCGCTGCTGCTGCTGCTGCTGCTGCTGCTGCTATGGCCACTGTCACTCCTGCTGCCAAAATCGAATGCACTATCACTATTCTTGCTATCCCTTTCTGTACGGCCACCTATTCCTGGCTTGTCCCTTCCGGCCTCTCCCCACCGAACCTGTTCCGAGCCTCCGGCACCTATCTGATCCAGAAACGAGGCAAGATCCGGCCGAGCCTGTTCCGAACCTCTCTCAGCTGGCTCTTGGCTGAATCCGAGCCTGTCTTGGCTGGGCAGGTTCTGGGATTCATTGGAGGCAGAGGTTTGACTGCCATAACCAGACCTCCTGTCTAGGTTCGGGAAGATGGAGGCTCGGGTCTCCTCTTGGCTCGGCATGGATGAGTAGTTGATGAAACGAATCTTGGTTGGATCTATTCCCTCCCATCTAGAGGCCTTGACAGATTCTGACGTGGCATAAGACGATGAGATGGAGGATGATGACGTGGCAGATGGAGACGTGGCAGAAGGTGACGTGGCTGGTGCTGATGTGGCTGAACTTTCTTGGGAAGGAGAATGAGAAGCAAGTTTCCTGACGTCTTTCCGCTCCCCATTATCGAATGCCGTTTTCATTTCCCTCAACTCTTTATTCCCCTTCTGTCTCCCCTTCCGTTTCGCCTTACGTTTCTCATTACTCCCCTCCTCCTTCCTCTCCTCCTTACTCTTCTCTTTCCTCTTCTCCTTCCTCTCAGCCTTTCTCTCACTCACCTCTCCCCTTGTATGTGACTCTCCAAGTCCCTCCCTTTCCCCCACAGCCTCCAATCTCCGGCCCCTCTTATCCTCCCCTCTTGGCCCTTTTTGACTTTCTCCATACCTCTTGCCCTTCTCCCTCTCCTTGGCCTTATCCCCCTTCTTTTTCTTGTCCCTCTTCCTCTCTACATTCCCGGAAACTTCCCCACTGGATGGTTCCCCCGCTCCTTGAACCCCAGCCGCTACAGCTGTCAATTTAGTTAATCTCTTCCAGGAACCCGTAGTTAATCTATTCCGTAGGAGTGTAGGAGGCTCCGCGACAGCCGCAGTTGGTCTATCCCTTGAACACGTGTATACGTGGCAAGAGGTACAGTGTCGTGCTGTTTGGAAGATCGGAATACGCGCGGCGAAAAAATACGTGAGCGTGGAAGTTTCCATTACTCAACAATAGCGAAGATTCTTAAAAACTGACAGTAGGAAAATGGCAAAAGATCAAAGTCAAAAAGGCAAAGCGCACGAGGCTAGGTGCGCGGAAGGGCGGTGCGTAGTGGCGAAAAGGCGAACTACAGAAGCATTCTACAAGAGTACGATTTTTTAGTCGACTTAGAGTAGTACTTTAGCGCGGAGGTGCGTGCATGCACGAAAGGAATAAGCAGTATCGCCGTGCTGTGCTGCTGCAAGCTAGGCCGGCGATGACCGGCAAGCAGTAAGCGCGAACAGCGGGGAGGCCACTAAAATAGCATTCTAGCTTGCTCGAGTGAGGTGAGGTGACTCGAGTGTTCCTAGGAGGTTTCAGGTTTAGGAGATTCTGACATTCTGAACTTCAGGGGTTCTTGAAAATTCCGCGATGCGGCTTGGCTTGGGAGGGAATTCGATACCCGTTTTTGTCAACCCGTTAGCAGGTTAATTGAGTGGAAGCAAGTTTCTCAAGTAAAGAATGTATGGTAGTTGCGTAGAAATATTTTTTGTTTTGTGAGGTATTAAAGGTTGATCTATGAAACAGAGCTGCAACTACAGCAGAATACAATGACCAGAAACGCACAATCAAACGACTCATCTCTGTTTGCACGTTCCCACTTCCCAATTTCCACCCACATTTCCCTCTTTCCAAAATCAGAGAACCTTATGGCTTCGCAACATCCTTAGTCGCTGCCTGATTTACTCTCAACCAATATGCTGCTCTCGCAGCTCACTTTAATGCCGCCTAAAAATGCACACTTTATCCCCGTTACAAGGCGTGCCGCAGAACGTTCCACACAAAAAACAATTACAGCTCGAGATTGCTCGACTCCGCAGCAGCTTTGGCAGCAGCCTTCTTGGTCTCCTGCCTTGCCGCCCGCATGGCCTGGATTTCAGCATGCATCTCCCGCTCCCTTGCACCCTGACTGCCCTGCTCCACCACCCTGCGCTTCCTCGATAGAGACTGCTTGCTGTTAGCACAAGGGCATGGAAGGGAAGGAAAAGGAGAACTTTAGATCTTGAAATCTCAGCATGCATCTCCCGCTCCCTCGCTCCCCGACTGCCCTGCTCCACCACCCTGCGCTTCCTCGATAGGGACTGCTTGCTGTTGGGGTGGAAAGCGGAAGAGGCGAGCCGAGAGGCGCCTAAATTCGCCTCAAGAATCTCAGCTCATATCTCCCTCTCCCTCGCTCGCTCTCTGCCTTTCTTGCTCCCTGCTCAACATCTCTGTTCCTCAAAAGACAACTCTGAGACACTTTTATGTGTCTCAACAGCTCCACTGAATCTAGAGGCTACTTTCTCATTGATTAACCTTCTAAGCCTTCATGTGACTTGTAGACAAACTTTCGAGACGTTAGAAAAAAAAAAAAAAAAAAAAAAAAAATCAAACAAACAACGCTTCACTCACATGGTGGGCCCGTGGGTCTCGATCATCCCTCTCTTCTGAAAGCTCTTGAAGCGGTCACGCACGAGAGTGAAAGAACCCTGGGGGGAGGTGACAGAGATGAGAAGAGAGATGGAGAGGGAAGACGGAAAGACATAGAGGAATCAACGCAAGAAAAGGAAACATGGGAATGAAGGCAAGAGGTGAGGCACGGAGAAGGAAAGGCACTGTGTGTGGCGATCATCCCTCTCTTCTGGCAGCTCTTGAAGCGGTCACGGACAAGAGTGAAGGAGCCCTGGGGGGGGGGGCCAGGGAAGCGAACATGTGTATCAAGTCAAGAAGTGAGGCCTGGAGTTGGAAAGGCACGATACAATGTGTCTCGATCAGCCCTCGCTTCTGGAAGCTTTTGAAGCGGTCACGGACAAGAGTGCAGGAGCCCTGAGGGGGGAGAAGGGGAGGGCAAGGAATGGAAGGTTTAGAGAGAAAAGAAACATGGAGTTGGGAAGAGGGGAAGGCATGGAGAGGAACCAAGGCAAGAGGTGAGCGATGGAGAAGGAAACAGGAGAGTGTGTCTCGATCAGGCTGACTTTTGAGTCGACTCGAAATGCACGCTTTTCCTCTCTCTTCTCTCGCTGCAGGCATGCGTGCAGATATGAATAGATACAGGCATGAAGCTATGCAGGAATGCATACGCTGTCGCACACACGGTTCGCTGGGTAAGAGAGATGAAAAGATCGCTACCTTGAGTTGTCGCGGGGAGGGACCCTGTGACTTGGTCTGATGTGGGCAGAGCACGTTGTGATGGGTGCACGCATGCAGCAGGGTGTTTTTGAGAACTCTAAAAAACACCCTGCAGCATCAGAGCACCTTGTGATGGGTGCACGCATGCATGCGTGCAGAGCAGACATGTTACTTGCAGAAGCGAGAGGAAAAGGACGCTACACTTACATGTTAATTACATGTTACACTTACAAACACATGGCACGGTCGGTAAGAGCGAGGAAAAGGACGCTACCTTGAGTTGTCGTAGCGACCCGGTTACTTGGTCTGATGTGAGCACACTCATTGGTTCCGGCTTGAACCTGGTGAGAAGCAAATGACACGCGCACGGCGCACGCACACACAGAAGAAGAGTCACAAACACAGCTACGCATTGAAGGAATGAGGGGAAACAGTTGCTGCAGTGACATGGTCTTCTGATGTGAGCACGCTCATTGGCTGCGGCTTGAACCTGGTGAGAAAACAAAGGGAATTCGCACGCACACACGCACACACACAGAGAACAGCAGGGAATGAGGGGGAAAAGGTTGACCCACTGACTTGGTCCGATGTGAGCACGCTCATTGGATCTGGCTTGAACCTGGTCAAGATGAAACGACACATAGAGCACATTCAGGCACTGGGGGAATAACGGGGCTGCAGTGACTTGGTCCGATGTCAACACGCTCATTGGATCTGGCTTGAACCTGGTCAAGATGAATCGGGGCACACGCACGAACACACATAAGAGTCGGTCACAACTCACAGGTGCTCAGTGAGGGAATGAGGGGAAAAGGTTGACTTTTGAGTCGACTCAAAAGTCACCTTGAGTCGACTCAAAAGTCACCTCGTTACCATGGCACACGACACAGAGTCGGTCACAACCAACTCACAGGTGCTCAGTGAGGGAATGAGGGGAAAAGGTTGCTGCAGCAGCGGCATGGCCTGATCTGATGGGAACACACTCACTGGGTCAGGCATGTACCTGCTCAAAGCAATGCTCCTCCCGCTCCTCAGTCAACCAAGTCAACCAAGCCAACCAGGTCAACACTCACTTATGCCTTCCCAGTCGTGGAGCCCTCTTCACCCTCAGTTCCACCCGTGCAATCTCCCTCCTAACGCGCCTCTTCTCCGCCTCCTCCCTCTCCTCCTCCAACTCCCTCTGCAGATCCTTCAACCGGTCTAAATCCTTCCGCATCGCCTTCAGTTTCCTCCGCTTTGCCAGTTCTGCTTCCACCAGTCGGTGCCGCATGCGCCGATTCAAATCCGCCCTGGTGAGACGCTTGGGCACTCTGTGTCTGGTGGGTGGGGGGAAGAGGGAGGGGACACGGGGCGAAAGAGAATGGGGGGAGGGTCAAACCTCCTCTCCATCCACCCTCCTCCGCTTCGCCAGTTCTGCTTCCACCAGTCGGTGCCGCATGCGCCGATTTAGGTCCGCTCGGGTGAGACGCTTGGGGACTCTGTGTCTGGTTGGGCAAGGAGGGGGGTGACGGGGGACAGGGGTGTGGAAGAGAGGGTGTTGCTGCTCCTCCGCTTCGCCAGTTCTGCTTCCACCAGTCGGTGCCGCATGCGCCGGTTCAGATCGGCCCTGGTGAGACGCTTGGGCACTCTGTGTCTGGGTGGGAGAGAAGAGGGAGGGGACATGGGGGGAAAGGGAAGGGAGGAAACTTAGCCCTCTCCATCCACCCTCCTCCTCTTTGCCAATTCTGCTTCCACCAGTCGTCGGTGCCGCATGCGGCGATTCAAATCAGCTCGAGTCAGGCGTTTGGGAACCCTGTGTCTGGAGGGGAAGGGGGACGGGAGGGAGGGGAAAGGGTGTTGCAGCTCCTCCGCTTCGCCAGTTCTGCTTCCACCAGTCGGTGCCGCATGCGGCGGTTCAGATCAGCTCGAGTCAGGCGCTTGGGAACTCTGTGCCTGGAGGGTGGGGGGAAAGAGGGAGGGGAAAGGGTGTGGCTGCTCCTCCGCCTCTCCACCTCTGCTTCCACCAGTCGGTGCCGCATGCGCCGGTTCAAATCGGCTCTGGTGAGACGCTTGGGGACTCTGTGCCTGGTGGTGGGGTGGAGAAAAGGGGGGAGAAAAGGCAAGGGGGAAGCGTCAAACCTCCTCTTCAGTTTCCTCCGCTTCGCCAGTTCTGCTTCCACCAGTCGGTGCCGCATGCGCCGGTTCAGATCGGCCCTGGTGAGACGCTTGGGCACTCTGTGTATGGTTGGGAGGAGAGAAGAGACAGTGTGAGAGGGGAAGAAGAAGAAGACAAAAACAAGATCCTAGATGAGGTGTCAAAGACTAGAAGGGTATGAGGGATTGATGAGTACTTGAGTAGCACAAACCAAAAAGAAAGGGAAAATTCAAAAAAAAAAAAAAAAAAAAACACAAAAAAGGTGAGAATTTGGAAGGGAGAAAAGGGCTGCTTACTTGGTGACAGCAGCAGTGTTGACTTTTGAGTCGACTCAAAAGTGAACCTGGAAAGGGGGAAAAGGCTGCTTACTTGGTGACAGCAGCAGTGTTGCCATCCTCATCCTCCTCTTCCTCCTCCTCCTCTTCATCTTCCTCTTCTTGAGTCAGAAAGAAATCCTGACGGCACGGAACAGTAGAGAAGGAGAAAGAGAGGGGAAGGAGGGGCAGGGGCGAAGGCGGGGGAGGGAAGGCAGAGAGGCAGGCAGCAAGATATTAGATGACTTTTCAGTCGACTCAAAAGTCACCTCGAGGGAGGGAAGGCAGAGAGGCAGGCAGCAAGATATTAAAGTGACTCGGAATGGGAGGCAAGGGGAAAGAGATGGAGGGGAGGCATGTATGCAGCAGCAGAGCATTGATAATAATCCTTCCCCCACCTCCCCCTCTTTCGCCCTACCATCGTCTGCAATACCCACACACCCATCGCACTGCACCTCGCTCCACCGCACTCAACCCCACTGCATTCCACACCACCCATTCTCACCGCTGCCTCCTGCATCCGTGCTTCCTCCTCCTCTGTCCGCGAAACCATCAGCTGGGGCGGCGTGGGCGGCAGTGCTGCCTGCTGCCAACTACCACACAGTACTCACATCCATCTCACCGTACCTCACTTCACCGCACTCCACCACCCTAAACCCTAAACCGCTGCCTCCTGCATGCATCCGTGCCTCCTCCTCCTCTGCTCGCAACACCATCAGCTGGGACGGCGTGGGCGCCAGTGCTGCCTGGTGCCGACTACCACACAGTACTCACATCCATCTCACCGTACCTCACTTCACCGCACTCCACCTCCCTAAACTCACCGCTGCCTCCTGCATCCGTGCTTCCTCCTCCTCTGCCCGCGACACCATCAGCTGGGGTGCTGCTGAGGGTGCCAGAACTACCTGCTGCTGCCTAGTATACAATACCCGCACTCATCACACTCTACCTCATTTCACCGCACTCCACCTCCTTGAACTCGCCGCTGCCTCCTGCATCCGTGCTTCCTCCCTCCTCCGCTGCTCGCAACACCATCAGCTGGGGGGGCGTGGGCGCCAGCGCTGCCTGCTGCCAACTACCACACAATACTCACATCTATCTCACCGTACCTCACTTCACCGCACTCCACCTCCCTAAACTCACCGCTGCCTCCTGCATCCGCGCTTCCTCCTCCTCTGCTCGCAACACCATCAGCTGCGGCGGCGTGGGTACCAGCCAGCACTACCCACACCCACTGCACTGTACCTCATTCCACCGCAATTAACCGCACCGTTTTCCACCCCACCCATTCTCACCGCTGCCTCCTGCATCCGTGCTTCCTCCTCCTCTGCTTACAACACCATCAGCTGAGGCGGCACGGGTGCCAGCGCTGCCTGCTGCGGCTTACCATATAAAACCCACACCCATTACACTGTACCTCTCCCCGCCCATTCTCACCGCTGCCTCCTGCATCCGTGCTTCCTCCTCCTCTGCTCGCGACACCATCAGCTGAGGCGGCGTGGGCGCCAGCGCTGCCTGGTAGCTCTCTTTCAGCTCCTCCGCTACTGCCACTGCAATGGCATCCTGTTGACCCAAGGAAGTAATGTGTGTGGGGAGGACAAACGGTTGAGAGGAGTGAGGGGCGGCGTGGGCGCCAGTGCTGCCTGGTAGCTCTCTTTGAGCTCCTCTGCCACTGCCACCGCGATGGCATCCTGTTGACCCAAGGGATCACGGATGAGACGTGAGGGAAACAGGGTAATGGGTGGGGCAGTGACACCAGCAGCAGCTGCGGGGGCGTGGGCGCCAGCGCTGCCTGGTAGAGGGCAAGGGTCACACACTGCTGCCTGCCTGGTAGCTCTCCTTTAGCTCCTCCGCCACTGCCACCGCGATGGCATCCTGTTGGTTGGTGCAGGGGAGGGGGTGGGGGAAGAAAGAGGAGGGTAAGGGTCACACACTGCTGCCTGCCTGGTAACTCTCTTTGAGCTCCTCCGCCACTGCCACTGCGATGGCATCCTGTTGGTTGTTGCATGGGAGCAAGGAGGGGAACAAGGAGAGACGAGGGCGTAAGGGGAGGAGGGGGTGGAGCGTGAGTGGGCGCCAGCGCTGCCTGGTAGCCCTCTTTGAGTTCCTCCGCCACTGCCACTGCGATGGCATCCTGTTGGTGAGAGGGACAAAGGACGGAAGGTGAGTAAAGGCAATGGGGCAGGGGAAGAGTGAGACGGGGCGTGGGCGCCAGCGCTGCCTGGTAGCTCTCCTTCAATTCCTCCGCCACTGCCACTGCAATGGCGTCCTGAAGGGGAATGGAAAGGGGGAACAAGGGCAAAGGTGGAATGTAGGGAAGCGGTGTGGGTGCCAGTGCTGCCTGGTAGCTCTCTTTGAGTTCCTCCGCCACTGCCACTGCAATGGCATCCTGTTGGTCGACACGAGGGATAAAGGACAGGCGTGAGGGAAGGCAAGGGGGTGAGGGAAAAGCCAGAGGGGGCGTGGGCGCCAGCGCTGCCTGGTAGCTCTCTTTCAACTCCTACGCTCCGCCACTGCGATTGCATCCTGTTGGTTGTTTGGTGCAAGGGAGCAAGGAGGGGGAGGGAACAAGGAGGGAACAAGGAGGGGGAGGGAACAAGGAGGGAACAAGGAGGGGAACAAGGTGATGGGTGGGGCAGCGATCAGCTGAGGGGGCGTGGGTGCCAGCGCTGCCTGGTAGCTTTCTTTGACCTCCTCCGCCACTGCCACTGCAATGGCATCCTGAGGGGAGAAAAGGCACAGCAGAGGGGATAAGGGACAGGGCGTGAGGGGAAAAGGGTAGTGGGTGGGGCAGTGAGTGAGTGACACCAGCAGCAGCTGCAGGGGCGTGGGGGCCAGTGCTGCCTGGTAGCTCTCTTTCAGCTCCTCTGCTACTACTGCCACTGCAACGGCATCCTGAGGGAGCGAGAGATGAAGGACAGACAGGTGGCGCGGAGAACCAAGGGGCTGGGATCGCATCGCAGGCCCCACAAATACCTCGGCAAACACTGGTGCTTTCCATTTGAAAGAGGTGCAATCTACTCTACCTGATGCTCTTCCACGGAGGGGTTGAAGGAGCAGCCTGGGGCGTCGATCTCGACTGCAGGGATCGCAGACCCCCACTAATGCCTCAGCAAGCAAAACACTGGTGGTGTCCGGTCAAGAGCGGTGAAGTCTCTACCTGATGCTCCTCAACGGAGGGGTTGAAGGAGCAGCCAGGGGCGCCAACCTCGACTGCAGGGATCGCAGACCCCAATAATGCCTCAGCAAGCACAGGTGGTGTCCGGTTAAGAGCGGTGAAACCTAAATCTACCTGATGCTCTTCGATCGAAGGGTTGAAGGAGCAGCCTGGAGCATCAATCTCAACAGCAGGGATCGAAGACCCCGCTTTGCTCCTGTCCTCCTTGCCTCCTATCATCTTCCCATCGCCCCTCCTCCTCACTGGCTCTCCCACCTCCCCTCCTCCTCCTCCTCCGGTTGTTGCCTTGTCGGTGGCGAGAACAGCACGGCGGTTACCAGCTAAGTCTGTTACACACATTACAGATCAAACAAACACATGCCACAAACAATGGATGGATCAACGTTACACACAGGGCACAGGTGATTTCAAGTGCGAGCGACACAGGGAGTTTTTACGCTCGCATTTGAAACCAACGAGCCACGTGCGCGGTAAATTTCAAGTGCGAGCGACTTTTGGGTCAACTCAAACGGCACACATGGCTCGTTGGTTTCAATTCAAATGCGAGCGTAAAAACGCACCCCCAGTGGTGCGTGCAGCATGGGGGGTACCAGCTAGTAGGACTGTTACACATGGTAACACACAAATGTTACACCAGGCAAAGAGGGTTACACATGATAAGGTAAATACGCACACAGCTCTCCCTCCATACGCACACCTCCCCTTCCTCCTCAACTCCCCTTCCCCACCACCCTCCCCCTCCCAACACCCGCCCCTCGATCCCACACCCATCCCTCCTTCCCACACGCGTCCCTCCATCTCACCTTCCTCCGCCCAAAGGCCAAAAAGCGGTTTCAGAGAGTTCTACATCGCCTGAAAAACCCTAAACCCGCCTTGCCCAGCACATTTGCACCTCCCGTTCCTCACTCCACCTTCTAAAAGTCACACCCCTTCCTCACCTTCCTCCGCCCACAGGTCGAAAAGCGGCTTCTGGGAGTTCTTCCTTGCCTGCCAAAAAAAAACACAACCCAGACCCCACAACTCAGTAAGACAACAACCCGAAACCTCCGTAAACCCTGCTTTTGGGAAACTCTTTGAACTGTCTACAAGCCCAAACCTTAATTTTGAATCGCGTGAACCCTAATTGCTTCAAACCCCGAAACCCGAAACCCTGAGTTTCACACCTTCTTGGTGCGTCTCTTCCCCCCTGCAACCCCTGAATCCGCCGCAACAATTTCTTTCCCGCCAGAGCTCATCCCGGCACTCTGAACTATAGCCATAGGCCCTTCTCCGCTTGCTGCTACGACTATTTCCCCTCCGCCGCCGTCCTCACTCCCCCCCGCCGCTCCCCCTCCCCCTTTCCCGCCCCCATCTCCTGCAGCTGGCGCTTCCGCGGAAGCCAGACCCTCCGCAGCTGTATCCGCGGGTTTCTCCGAGGGTTTAGCGCTGCTTTTGGCGCGCGCCGGGGAAGAGCGGGTGGGTTCGGGAACGAGCGGCGGAACGAGCGAGCTGCGCTTGAGAATGGCGTCCGCGTGCGACTCGCGCGCGCGCCACTTGTCTACTTTGCGGAGCTTCGGCGCAACTGGCGGGGAAAGGGGGGAGCGGTGGCGAGGGAAAGGGGGTTGGCGCAAGAGAGGGTAGTCGGGGAAGATGGGAGAAAATGTGGGTGGAATCAGGGGAAAAGAGCCGTCGACGAAAGAGCTATTTTCCGCTGGGAAGAATGTCAAGAAGACACCGGCGTGCTTCGATGTGTCAGGGTTTCGACTTAAGACTCGCCGGGCGCGCCATACCTTTAGACTTATCGACGAAAAATATGTTTTCGCTGGGAACGGCGTCGAGCGCGCCACCGCTGCGCTCGTCGCGGCCCTTCTCCTCGAGGAACTTGTCGTGGTCCGCCGTGCTGATGTTCCGCCGCCACTCCTTCTTCCCCTTCCGCGACTTGCGGCTCCGCGCCATGCGTCAAAAACTACCGGAGCTTACAAGAACGGGGGAATTACGTTTTTAGGGCGAATCGGGTGCGCTGCTTTTCTAAGGCGACAGGAAAGGCTGCTTGCTGCAGGCTGACACGACGAGTGTTGCCAAGGGAGATGTGTCACTATGCTTTCTCACAGACTCGACGATGCTTTCTTTCGGACTCCTGGGGAACAGACTGGGAAGGGGGATGAATTGCACGAGAGCAAGGAGACGTTTCATTATAAAACACTTGAGTGGGTTGGGCGGAAACCTTGTAAGAGCAGAACACTTCAACATCGTATATCGAACCATCTAGTACACTATCATAATGGTGACATCATCGTGGTGTGGTGGAGGTACGCCAGTCTGTTCGCAGTCGTTTCCAGCGGAAAATCTTGGAACGTGATTGGATAAGCTGCTCGAGCTTCGCATGCATGCACACGTCACCCGCTGCCACGGGAACACTTTCGTGTGCTCTTCCTCCAAGTCGAGGAGGCACGGAACCCCATCCCAGCCGTCCAAATCTCTGACATCCATATGCAATTCCCTGAATCGATACGATCATGTGCGAAACTGTACGTTTTAGAACGGTTGTATACTGTCTCAACCAAGCGGCAAGCAGTTTGCCTGGTTACGGGAACGAACCCAACCAAATGCGCGGCAGCAGCAGCGGATCAATCAGCGCACAGGTGCTTGAATGTTTGACGGCTGCACAGCACAGCCAAAAGCACGGCTGTCAGGGAGGGCCAGGCTGTGGCCTACACGAATTATCCCCCGAGTTTGTCTGCGGATTGTTCAGTCCGGTCCGGTTCGCCTAGTTTGAACGGGGTACCAGACGGTTGTAATTAACATGGCTCTGGACCGTAACTTACCGAACAAAACCGTGATACGTAGACAGGAAAGGAGAGATCTCGAAAAGGGGCACTATGCTAGGAGCAACACTCACCAGACCCAACAGTAGCTGTTACTTGTCTACCGTAATTTTCGTTATCTATTAGTGGCTGCTCATTGTTTCTCTGTTTCTGGTTCTTGCATCGCGACTATTCCTTTCCCTCCGCGCCTTAAGTGTGGAGCTAACTCCACCTCACTGCACACCATCACGAGATCCACCTGCGGAGCGGCGCGGCGCGAGTCGCGATTAGATACACGTGTCGCCAACGTGGCCGTATGGATTTACCCGCCAGTTTGTTGGTAGCTGTCTCGCCGTTAGTCAATGAGTTCCGAGACGCCTCAGTCCGCGTCAATCCCTAGGTCGGAGTCGCGATTTTGCGATAGATTGATCGTGAGGCTCCTCGTCACGTCATCGGTAGTAGCCGAATATAAAGACGTCTTTAGGTGGCCTTTGCGAGTCTTAGGTAGTAAACAGTCTGGCCATAGGTCGATGTTGAGGCTATTTTTACCAACAGACAGAAATCTACCAGCCGCTATATCGTAGTACAATGCGCATTTCGCGGGAATTGGGTGTTGCATAGTGCAAGCACCCGCTTTAGCTTCATTATCACAAACTCGTAATCTCCACCCCACGATTCTTTGACATTTTTTTACTAGTTTTCCGATATAATCTCCGCCATGGGTTGGCGTTTAACCGACTTATTCTCCACGTCAGACTCGTCATCCGCCACGTCACACTCTCAGCAAACCGCCAGCCACGTGTCCTCGTCTTCCTCCGCCACCCACGTGTCATCCACACCGTCAGCAGTACCACCATCAGCAGCAGCGCCTGCGGTTCCTGGAGCGGCGATCGCGGCGCCGACATCTCGAGCCGCGTCTGAAACCGCATATCGAGCCGCAGGGCATAGATATGGCGTCGCACCGGGTGGTAACTCTCACATGTCGCGCCTCGACGCCGCAGCCGCCGCCGCCGCCGCCGCGCCGCTCGCCACCGCGCCAGGCGCAACGCCCGCCGTGATCGTTCTCGCGCCCCCGCAACGACCCTCCTCTTCCGCCATCTCCCCGCTTCCGCCGTCCGCCTTCGCGCCTTTCGCGCGCGGCGGCAGCCCCGCGGCCGTTCCGCCGCTAGCCCGCCCCGACGCTTCCCCCTCCGCAACTCCCCCTTCCGACGCTGCGGGGGACACGTTTTTCTCCCCGCGAGACTCGTTTTCTTCCGCGCATGGGTTTTCCGCCCGGGAATCTTCCTCGCCTTTTAGTCACCACTCGCTAGACTCCGCCCACCCGTCGAGTCGCGTTTCTAGTGGTCTCCGTGCCGGCCGGCCGCTGCCGTCCTTAGATCCGTCGATCCGGAAACCGCGGAGACCGCACGATCTTCTCTTCCTGGTTCTGTTCGTAGCATGTCTGGTCGGCACGGGATACGCGTCGGTTCGAATCGGTTGTTCGCGGTGGACGATTCCGCCTCCTAGCAATAGTAGCAGTAGCGGGACGGATCAAAAGTACTCTACGAAGGACTTCTGGCCGGTTCTGATGGTAGCAGCAGCGGTGGCGCTAGCAGCTGGGACGGTCTTGTTACAGCTACTATTTTTCTACACTAACATGGCGATTAAAGTGGTAGTGCATGTGCTAACGACGTATATAGCAGTAGTTAGCGTTTTCTGCTTCTGGGATAAGGAGTACTTTTGGGGGATCTTCTTCGCTATTGGCGCTGTGCTGCAATTCGTATACGCCATCGCGGTGGTGGATAGGTGAGTGACTGTACGCGTTGTTATGTTCTACTAACGAGGTGGGTTATAACGAGCATGTGCTTGGGGGATCTTCTTCGCTGTAGGCGCTGTGCTGCAATTCGTATACGCCATTGCGGTGGTGGATAGGTGAGTGTACGCTATGCTATGTGCTATTAACGAGTTCGTAAAGCGAGTATAACTCTAATACATGTCTACACCATGCTGGCCAGAGACGAGCTTTGGAATTACCCTGGGGTTCCCCCGCTGCTGATCCTCTTCGCCCTCTCCCCTCCCCCCTCGACGTTCTCCCCCGCCCTTCCCCCCACCATTCCCCGCGCCGTTTTACCCCGGCTCTCCCCTCCCCTCCCCCTTCACCCCCATCAGATCGCATACACCCAGCTGGTTGTGAGACGAGCGCTGGGCTTTGCCCAGGGCTTCCTCCTGGTGACTTTTGAGTCGACTCAAAAGTCACCTCGTTACAAGGGCTTCCTCCTGTTAGTCCTCTGTTCCAACGCCCAAACCCCCGCGCCCTTCCCCACCACCCCTTCCCGCGCCCTCCCCCTTTTTCCCCACTCCACCTCCTGCAGAATCGCATACACCATGCTGGTTGTGAGACGAGCTCTGGGATTCGCTCGGGGTTTCCCTCTGCTGATCCTCTTCGCCCACGTGGCAGCGCTGCTGCTTGCCACGTGGATGGGCGTGTGGACGTTCGGCGTGTCGGGGATCATGGCTCAGGACCAAGCTAAACTGGAAAGATGGTGGATATTACTGGTGAGGGTTGATTGGGGACGGGAAAAGTACGCAAAATATGAGGATTATCAGTGTCGGGGATCATGGCTCAGGACCAGGCAAAGCTGGAGCGGTGGTGGATTCTGCTGGTGAGGGATTATCAGGGTGGAAAGGTGGGGGAGCAAGGGTAGGGGGGTCATGCATCAACTGGATGGTCGTCTTCCTTTCGGCGTGTCGGGGCAGGACCAGGCAAAGCTGGTGAGTAGTGCCGCCGGTGAAGGGTGGGGGAAGGAAAAGGCGAAAAATGGAGGAAGGGGGGTCGTTTTGAGTCAAATCATAACTCATTTCCATGTTCTGGTCTGATTTCCAACATACCCACTTGCCCTACCAATCCCCCCCCTCTCTGCCACGTCAGCTCTTCGCCATGAGCATCTTCTGGACGGCGGCGGTCGTCTGCAACATGGTCCACGTGGTGACAGCTGGCGTGATGTCAGCGTGGTTCGCCGCCAGCTCAGCAGAGCAGAACGCCAGCTCAGCGGCGGCAGGGGAGGGGGCGTCAGCAGCGGAGGAGGGGCGGGGGGGTGCAGCGGTGCCACCCCAGCAGTTCCAGCTGGCGCCAGGGCGGATCACTCTGGAGGCCACGTGGCATGCTCTGATTGGCCTTGGGAGTATCTGCTACGGGTCGCTTTTCAGCCCTCCGATTCACGTGATCCGATGGATGGTGAGGATTGAAAGTCATCTGGGATGGGATGTGAGTGCTGCTCACGGGCATGCATGGGATGTGAGTGCTGCTCACGGGCATGCATGGGATGTGAGTGCTGCTCACGGGCATGCATGGGATGTGAGTGCTGCTCACGGGCATGCATGGGATGTGAGTGCTGCTCACGGGCATGCATGGGATGTGAGTGCTGCTCACGGGCATGCATGTGTGGCGCGGGTGTTTTGAGGTGGTCTTTGAGGCGATATTTGAGGCGATATTTGAGGCGATATTTGAGGCGATTTTTGAGGCGAGTTTTGAGGCGAGTTTTGAGGCGAGTTTTGAGGCGATTTTTTAGGCGCCGCAAAAATCACCCGAGTGCTCACGGGCATGCGTGTGTGGTGCAAGTGTTTTCTTAGAATTTTCAAGAACAGTCGCATCGCATGACTGTTTTACGAGAAAAAGACAGCCATGATCGGTCATTTCTTCAAAAAACAGTCAATGCGGGTGTTTATGATCGTTTCTTCTTAAGAAAACTCACACCTAACCTGTCCACCCCCAACTGTGCCTGCCTCTCCCCTCCCTCCTTTCACACCCATGCCATCATGCCGCTCTAGATCAGGGGTGTGAAAGGAGGGAGGTGAGATCAGGACCTCCCTGGTGTACGCTCCTGGTGCACAGCCAACGAGTGCTTCGTCTTTTGAGTCGACTCAAAAGGAGGTGACTTTTGAGTCGACTTTTGAGTCTACTTTTGAGTCGACTCAAAAGAGACCAGGACCTCCCTGGTGTCTGCTCCTGGCGCACAGCCAACCTGTGCTTCTTCTTCTTCATTGTCAACCCCACCCTCACTACTCCCACTCTCAGATCCGGGGAGTGCGTTCATGGTGCATCGGCAACGAGTGTTTCTTCTTCATTATCAACCTCGCTTTCGACTTCACCTCACCCTCACTACTCCCACTCTCAGATCCGGGGAGTGCGTTCATGGTGCATCGGCAACGAGTGTTTCTTATTCATTATCAACCTCGCTTTCGACTTCACCTCACCCTCACTACTCCCACTCTCAGATCCGGGGAGTGCGTTCATGGTGCATCGGCAACGAGTGCTTCTTCTTCATTATCAACCTTGCATTCAACTTCATCGAAGCTCTCACCCGTGCCTTCAACGCGTTCGGCTTTGTCACGGTGAGTGCAAGCCCTTGTGAGGCGCCTCAAAACATTGCCAACGAGTGTTTCTTCCTCATCTTTAACCTTGCATTTAACTTCATTGAAGCTCTCACCCGTGCCTTCAACGCGTTCGGCTTTGTCACGGTGAGTGCAAGCCCTTGTGAGGCGCCTCAATACATTGCCAACGAGTGTTTCTTCCTCATCTTTAACCTTGCATTTAACTTCATTGAAGCTCTCACCCGTGCCTTCAACGCGTTCGGCTTTGTCACGGTGAGTGCAAGCCCTTGTGAGGCGCCTCAAAACATTGCCAACGAGTGTTTCTTCCTCATCTTTAACCTTGCATTTAACTTCATTGAAGCTCTCACCCGTGCCTTCAACGCGTTCGGCTTTGTCACGGTGAGTGCAAGCCCTTGTGAGGCGCCTCAAAACATTGCCAACGAGTGTTTCTTCCTCATCTTTAACCTTGCATTTAACTTCATTGAATCTCTCACCCGTGCCTTCAACGCGTTCGGCTTTGTCACGGTGAGTTCAAGCCCTTGTGAGGCGCCTCAGAACATTGCCGACGAGTGTTTCTTCCTCATCTTTAACCTTGCATTTAACTTCATTGAAGCTCTCACCCGTGCCTTCAACGCGTTCGGCTTTGTCACGGTGAGTGCAAGCCCTTGTGAGGCGCCTCAAAACATTGCCAACGAGTGTTTCTTCCTCATCTTTAACCTTGCATTTAACTTCATTGAAGCTCTCACCCGTGCCTTCAACGCGTTCGGCTTTGTCACGGTGAGTGCAAGCCCTTGTGAGGCGCCTCAAAACATTGCCAACGAGTGTTTCTTCCTCATCTTTAACCTTGCATTTAACTTCATTGAAGCTCTCACCCGTGCCTTCAACGCGTTCAGCTTGTTACATTATGTTGAGGCACTTTAGAGATGCATGTGCTAAGCATGTGTTGTGACTTGAGTCGACTCAAATCAAGAGATGCATGTGTTAAGCATGTGTTGTGATTTGAGTCGACTCAAAACAAGAGATGCATGTGTTAAGCATGTGTTGTGACTGTGCTTCAAGGATGCATGGTCCGTGCAGCAATCTTGAGTTGCATGGGAGCTGTTCCAATCCACAGGAGTGGAGGCGGTGATTGCATACGACCTCTCAGGGGCCGTGCTGCTCATTTCTGTGATGCTGGCGGCGATGGTGGCCGGGACGGCAGCTGCTCTTACCCATGCTGCTGCTGCTAATCCCGCCTTCTTCTCCTCCCTGCTACCCTTCCCCCTCTGCCAGCTGGCCATGTATGGGAGGAGTTTCAACCGCTCGTCCGTCGATGCATGGGAGCTCTTTCAATCCACAGGAGTGGAGGCAGTGATAGCATACGACCTCTCAGGGGCCGTGCTGCTCATGGCCGTGATGCTGGCAGCAATGGTCCTGCGAATGCCACAGTCTTTCCCGTCCCCCCCTCACCCCCGCAGCTGGCCATGTACGGGAGGAGTTTCAATCGCTCGTCGGTCGATGCATGGGAGCTCTTTCAATCCACAGGAGTAGAAGCAGTGATAGCATACGACCTCTCAGGCGCCGTGCTGCTCATGGCCGTGATGCTGGCGGCGATGGTGGCGGGGACGGCAGCGGGCGTGTGGGGGTGGTACGTGGCTCAAGAGCTGGTGGTGGTGATTGGAGCAATGGGGATCGTCACAGGAGCAGCAATGGTGAGTGCCGGATATTTGAGTGCGATTGAGTGCGGTGGTGATGGTGGCTGGCAGGGACGGCAGCGGGTGTGTGGGGGTGGTACGTGGCTCAAGAGCTGGTGGTGGTGATTGGGGCGATGGGGATCGTCACAGGAGCAGCAATGGTGAGTGCCGGATATTTGAGTGCGATTGAGTGCGGTGGTGATGGTGGCTGGCAGGGACGGCAGCGGGTGTGTGGGGGTGGTACGTGGCTCAAGAGCTGGTGGTGGTGATTGGTGCGATGGGGATCGTGACAGGAGCGGCAATGGTGAGTGGTGGGAGTGTTGGATTGGTTGGAGGCGGTAGATCGAGTGAGATTGAGTGCGATGGAGTGCGGTGGTGATGGTGAGTGGGGATTGGGACGGCAGCGGGCGTGTGGGGGTGGTATGTGGCTCAAGAGCTGGTGGTGGTGATTGGGGCGATGGGGATCGTCACAGGAGCAGCAATGGTGAGTGCCGGATATTTGAGTGCGATTGAGTGCGGTGGTGATGGTGGCCAGGACGGCAGCGGGTGTGTGGGGGTGGTACGTGGCTCAAGAGCTGGTGGTGGTGATTGGGGCGATGGGGATCGTCACAGGAGTGGCAATGGTGAGTGGTGGAGGGGCAGTCACAACGACCCATGTCACAGCCTTTCCTCATTGAAGCCTTTCCCTGTCCCTTCTCTCTTCACAGGCGGGTGTGGTGCTATCAGTGGTGGAGGGGGCAGTCACAGCGACCTACGTCACAGCAGCAGAGGACCCCACTCCGATCTCTTCCTTCCCTCCACTTGCTGTGTCTTTTACATTCCCACAGGCGGGTGTGGTGCTATCAGTGGTGGAGGGAGCAGTCACAGCGACCTATGTCACAGCAGCAGAGGACCCGACTCTCATTGGCTGCGTCGACGCTGAGTTTGCCGCCCAGTTGCTAGACACGCTCCACCAGCGGTTACAGCACCGCAGCGGCAAGCCGCTGCCGCCCAGCCTGGCATCAGATGGTCTTGTTGGGGGGGTGCCGGCAACATGACAAAACCAGCCACCCGCTTCATTCGTATGTTACAGCACCGCAGTGGCAAGCCGCTTCTGCCCAGCCTTGCATCAGATGGTATTGTTGGAGGGGTGCCGCAACATGACAAAAGCAGCCGGCCACTTCACGTGTTACAGTACCGCACTGCACCGCAGTGGCAAACCTCTGCCTCCCAGCCTGGCATCAGACGGCCATGTTGGAGGGGTGCCAACCACTGTGTCAACCACTGTAAATGATATTCAAGTGCCAGCATTAGCTAGCTGCCGAGTGCTAATCAGGGTACCGTGCTAAGGTAACCTTCAGGCTTGTAGGGAGGGTCGAATGAGCTCCTTCACAGGTCATGGAGGTTTGCAATAAACTAAAAATTGCACCTCTGCTAAAATAATCATGCAGATGCATATATTGAAATGGCTAAATCAGTAAAGCATACCGCCTGTTCAGTTCATCAGTCTACGCATTGCGGAACAAACTACAAAGCAATGTGGTAATCATTAAAGGTACGGCAGGTCCACAAGGACGCCTAGCGAAGGACAAGAATGAAAGAAACCTCAGATAAGTGGTGCAAAACAACAAGGAGAAGAAAGAAACCTGAGAAAGGAGAACAGTAACAAGCAGAAGAAGGGGACCGGGTCTAGTCCGGTCGGGTGGGGTCGAGTCCGGTCCGAGTCGGGACAAGTCGCATCTTGCGTTGCGCAAATCTAACCACCCCTCGGGAGTTACGGCAGCTTAGAAGAAAACGTTAGGAGGCAACAACACGCCGTTAGTGCCATGAACGCACAGCAGAATCAGCTTCGCCGCGGCAACGTCTCCCCAGGTAATCACCGCCATCTGCGTCGCGTCGTTCGCGCCGGGCGGGGAGAAAATCACCGTGTTCTTAAGAGCCGACTTCTGCTTAACTAGCTGCACGCCGTACACGGTGCGGAAGCGCGCTCCGGGCTGCGCACGGCGGAGGAAGCCGACGGGAAGCTTTTGCAGGATCATGTGGTATTCGAGGAGCTTGATGAGCTTGGAGCCGGAGAGCTGCGATTTGACGCGCAGCGGGAGCGTCGCGAACGCGCGATCGGTGGGGACGAGGAGAGTCACCGGTTGGGTCTGAATGTAACGAGCGAGGATAGACTCAAAGCCTGTTGCGGAGGGGGAGGGAGGGGAGAGAGGGAGGGGGAGGAGGGGGGGGAGAGTTGAGGTAAGGTTAGGGAAAACGATCACATATTAACTCGGGGAAATATGACCAAGCCAGAAAGGTCTAATGATACCGAACGGCGGAAAGCCAAAAGTGTTGTTGAAGGAAAGAAGGCAAACTATGTATGACCAGCCTTTGGAGGAAATGCGGTGTAGGGCACGAATGGTACAATAATCGAAGGAAGTGATGCCAGTAGTTCTAGCGTAAGAATGACGGGGCGGAAGGGGTGGTTGCGGGAGGGCGTTGCGGGGGGGGGGGGGAGCAGGGTGGTGCGTAAGAGAAAGAGGGAATGCGGACGTTGCTGGGGGAGGTAAGGGGAAACACGCACCGAAAGCTCTGAGCCCTAGTATTTGAAACTCCCAAAAAAATCACGCACCGGAGTCTTTGAGTAGCTTGAGGAAGGTTTTGAAGGAGCCCTGTTTCCTCAGGGCCTCCTTGGCCGCTGCGAGGTCCGACTGTCCGTCGGGACGCGCGGAAACGACGGTGAGACACAGCATGAGGCTGAGAGCGATGGCGACGATGAGCCGAGCCATTTTGAAAAGAACGAGGACCTTCCTACTGAAGCACGACCAGAATGTTTGTAGCGTGAACTATAGCGAAGGATTTGAAGGAGCGCACGAGACGATATTATTTATTATTCGGAAATGAGAATTTGAGAAGAGGACGTTCAGAAGGGAATACGTCGAGAGGACCACAGCACACCACACAGCTAAGAGACGAGAAGGAATGACTATGGTTGTGTTGTGGGAGTCGGCAGGGTATGGCTGGCAGGGCGGGGAGGGGGGAGGGAGGGGAGGAAAGTGAGGAAGGTGGGGCGGGCAACCGGGGAGGACTAATCAGGAAAGGGGGAAAGGGGGAGGTATGGGGGAATGGAGGGGGAATGGGGATGTACAGTGCAGTAAAGGTGTTCGAGCAAGCACTGTGCAGGGGGGTTGTGGGGGGAGCAGCGCCAGAGGTCAATCAATACAGTACACGACAATAGGCGCAAGCAGAGGATGTGCGGAGGGGGGGGGAGGGTTGCGAGAGGGCGTGGTGCGCGCGCTTCTGCTGGGGTGTTGTGCTGGCGGAAGGGAGTGTTGACGGGTTTGGCGGGGAAACGGGGGAAGGGTGAGGGCGAAGGCGGAGGTTGAGTTTTGGGGCAAGGTGATGAATGGTCAAGCGGAAAGGAGGGGGAGAGGGGGAAGGCGAGCGGGGGGAAGCGAACGCGTTGCTGCGAGGTTTGCGGAAGCTGATGGCGCAGAGCAGCATGAGTGATGGTGGGTAGGCGAGTAGGGACAAAATACTTGGGTTCTGTTTAGGGTTGCTCCTAGGGATTCTCAGGCTTCCCATATTACACTCGGTGTTCATCTCATGTTCAGAAGCCATCGGGTTTTAATAGGCGCTTAAACTCGACTACCGCAATAATAGGTCGCGGGAGGGAAGAAGCGAAAAGAGGACAGAATCATATGTCCCTGTAAATCAGAAATCAATGTTTTGTAGTAGTTATGTTTCAGCCCATCAATAAAAGTTATACCAGAAAGACAGATTTCCCAGGTGAAGTTCGCTCCTCAGTCAGCATGTTGTGACTGCTAATTTGTCGCACCTGGCGTGGCGTACAACATGACTCCAACTGTCAACAGCATCAGAGAGGTTCGTTAGCGAGTCGATGCGTTTCCATGTTCAGGAAACTCGATTGTGAACGTGTTCTTTGGACACTCCCAGAGTAAACCTTCAATCACGATTACACATTAGCAGTGTCAAAGAATTCAGAACTAGAGAACCAGATGAGTAGTGCTCGACTATATCAGAGCATATTGATTCCAAAAATCAGGACCAAATAGGAAGGCTGATGATATACGGTATCTTGAACCTGACAGTACACTATGCTCGCAGCTCCCCTCCCCCCCTCCACCCTTCCCCTCTGTAAGGTGGATTTAAATGCTGTAAATGTCCACCCTATCAGTAATCACCAACACACTACATACATACAGTACATATTCAGTCTTCGGCATTAATGTACACTCCTCTAAGCAGCTCTTCTTCGAGCTCCGTTTCTGCCAATACTGAATCGGTGGGGTGGAGTGACGTCAGAGGAGCAAAGGCAGAAGGCACCTGTGGAATGGTACGGACGGGCAGAGAGGATAGAGGTTTGGGAAACTGAGAAATGAAACGGATAGAGTGATGAAAGGGAAGCGAGGACGGAGGGCAGCTATGGGATAGTAGGGCCGGTCGATGGAAGAACGTGGAATGTTAAGGGTTGGGGATTTTTTAGGCACCTCAAAAATCGCCTCAAAATCTTATTTTGAGGCGCCTCAAAAGATGAAAGGGGGGCGAGGATGGAGGGCGGATGGGATAGTAGGGCCGGTCAATGGAAGCACGATGGAACTCTAAGGGTTGGGAGTGATCCTAGAGGAGCAGAAGAGAGTGTTTTGAGTCGACTTGAAACACACATGGGGAGCGAGGAAGGAGGGCAGCTATGGGATAGTAGGGCCGGTCAATGGAAGCACGATGGAATGTTAGGGTTGGGAGTGATCCTAGAGGAGCAGAAGAGAGTGTTTTGAGTCGACTTGAAACACACATGGGGAGCGAGGAAGGAGGGCAGATATGGGATGGAAGGGCCGGGCCATTGAAGCACGATGGGATGTTCTAGAACGGTTGGGAGTGATCCTAGAGGAGCAGAAGAGAGGCTAGGCACCTGCGTGTGAAGTACCAGCTTGCAAGAAAGTGAGATGATCCAGTAGCTTGCAAGATCCCCATGTGACCTACCTCGCGTTATGTGGACTCACCTGCTGGGGAGTCTAGTCTGCTTACCAGAGAGATGGAGTGGCGGGAGAACAGGGTTTAGGGTTGCAGAACAGGGCAGCTGCAGTCGCAATCGCCATAACTACTATTCCCTTTGGTAAGTTACCTGCTGGGGAGTCTAGTCTGCTCACCAGAGAGATGGAGTGGCGGGAGAGGAAGAAAAGAGCAGCTGCAGTCGCTATCGCCATGATGACTATTCCCGTTAGTAAAGTTACCTGCAACCACCCGGAATCACCTGCTGGGATGGCTGGTCCCCTCACCAGAGAGATGGAGTGGCGGGAGAGGAAGAAAAGAGCAGCTGCAGTCGCTACCGCCATGATGACTATTCCTGCTATGATTCCGCTCCAAAAGCGGTAACCGGTCAGTCGAGGTGGGAGGGGACCTGTGGTGGCAGAGCAGTCACACGAGGCATGGGAGTCGGAGGAGTGTCGGCACGGGCGAAATACGTTAGTGTGTGTTTGGGCGAGTCATGTTTGTGTGTGTGGGAGGGTGGTGGCACAGTCGAGTGGAGGTGGGAGGGGGCCTGTGGTGGCAGAGCAGTCACACGACGCATGGGAGTCGGAGGAGTGTCGGCACGGGCGAAATACGTTAGTGTGTGTTTGGGCGAGTCATGTGTGTGTGGGAGGGTGGTGGCACAGTCGAGTGGAGGTGGGAGGGGGCCTGTGGTGGCAGAGCAGTGACACGAGGCATGGGAGTCGGAGGAGTGTCGGCACGGGCGAAATAAGTTAGTGTGTGTTTGGGCGAGTCATGTGTGTGTGGGAGGGTGGTGGCACAGTCGAGTGGAGTGGGAGGGGGCCTGCGATGGCAGAGCAGTGACACGAGGCACAGGAGTCGGAGGAGTGTCGGCACGGGCGAAATACGTTAGTGTGTGTTTGGGCGAGTCATGTGTGTGTGGGAGGGTGGTGGCACAGTCGAGTGGAGGTGGGAGGGGGCCTGTGGTGGCAGAGCAGTCACACGAGGCATGGGAGTGAGAGTGAGAGCAGCAACAAGCAGTGATGGAGGTGAAAGGAGGAAGGGAGGGTGTGGGCAGGCGTTTTATACTTGGTGGGTGGGTGGCACATCGACAAGTGGGTGGGAGGGTGGCACAGTAGCATTGGGGGGGAAACTTGTGGTGGCAGTCTGGCAGAGCAGTTACACGAGACGTGGGAGTGAAAGCTAGCTGAGTAACGACTTGGTATGACTTACAGAGGTAATGAGCTAGTATAAATTGATCGCGCAACACTTGGTGGAATTTTGTTCCAGAAGTGATAACCTACTAGCACTGACTGATACTGACTCGTACTGACTGTTACTGACTGGTACTGACTCCGGTACTGACCTATACTGAATGGTGCTGACCGGTACTGACCGGTAGTACTGACCGGTACTGACTGGTAGTGAGTGATACTGAGTGGTACTGAGTGGTACTGAGTGAGTGGTACTGACCGGTATAGGAGCGGAGAGTGGGGCTGAGAGGGTTGCGGAAGTCAACCCACACAAAGGCAAAGTCTGAAAGATGACACGGTATGGTGTGGTGTGGTGTAGTGTGGTGTGGCATGGTATGGTGTGGTGTGGTATGGTATGATTGGTAAGATATAGGACATGCATGGGAAGAGCAAGGGAACGGGGAAAAGGCATGGATGAGCGTGTCTGCTGCTGCATCCCCGTCTGTGAAAATATCAGCACAGGTGACTTCGATACAATCACACTTGTACAATCAGAGAAGACAACAGTTTCCTTGAACATCTAAACACTCGGTTCTTACTGTTGCTTTCGTTCATTCGTGTGAACACCAAGAGAATTTCACCAAAATCCGGGAACGCGTTTCGGGACAAGAGCAGCACACCAATAGTATCGGTGTAAAGGCACGCAATTCAATTAACACGTTCTGAGCCGCCTCCATTCCCAAACCTGTATCGGTGTAGGGAAACGTCTCCTTGAACATCTGAGAGGGTTCCTTCACGAGCCGATGCCCTTCCACCAGAAGCGACCCTTGTGCTGCTTCCCCCATCCCAGAAATCATGCATCTCCACTGCATATATACTAACAAAAAATGGTAATAAATTACGTACCTGTATTGGTGTACGGAAATGTCACCTTGAACATCTGAGCGGGTTCCTTCACAAGCCGATTGGCTTCCACCAGCAAGCCCCGCTGTGCTGCTTCCTCCATCCTCGTTATAAGCCACCTCAACGCCACTTTCCTATAAAAAGAACATTGTAATACCTGTATCAGTGTATGGAAACGTCTCCTTGAACATCTCAGCAGGTTGCTTCACGAGCCGATGCCCCTCCACCAGCAGCGACCCCTGTGCTGTGAAGTTGTAAGAGAGGAAGGCGTGGCGTGCATACCGCCTGTTGCCGTCGTCCCTCCCCATCACCTGAAGTAGTAAGATGCCGTCCCTTCAGTTGACAGGACAAAACGGGGCGAGAGGAGTGGGACGGGAATGAGGAAGGCATGGCGTGCGTAGCGCCTGTTGCTGTCGTCCCGCCCCATCACTTGGAGTAGAAGGATGCCGTCCCTGAAATCAGCAGGAGGGAAGGAAGGGGAGAAGCACAAGAGGGAATGGGAGTGAAGCAGAATGATCCGATGCCCGTCTATCAGCATGGCCCCTCCCTCAGCACTGACGTCTGTGCTCCAGAAGGTTAGAGGGAGAGCTCGAAGGCTACGGGCCTCCACCAGCAGCGACCCCTGTGCCGTGAAGTTGTAAGAGAGGAAGGCGTGGCGTGCATACCGCCTGTTGCCGTCGTCCCTCCCCATCACTTGAAGTAGAAGGATGCCGTCTCTATAGGAAAAAACAAGGAGAGGGAGGGAACTGAGGTGGTGAAGTTGTAAGAGAGGAAGGCGTGCCGAGCATAGCGCCTGTTGCTCTCATCCCGGCCCATCACTTGCAGTAGTAGGATGCCGTCTCTGGGGAAATAAAGAAGGAGAGGGAGCGAGGGAAGTGAGGAAGTGAAGTTGTAGGAGAGGAAGGCGTGGTGTGCATAGCGCCTGTTGCTGTCATCCCGGCCCATCACTTGGAGCAGGAGAATGCCATCCCTGGGGAGAAACAGAGAAGATAGGAGAATGAGGGTGTGGCAAGGGATTGAGGAGATGAGTCATCGCGCGTAGCGCCTGTTGCTGTCGTCCCTCCCCATCACTTGCAGCTGGAGGATGCCGTCCCTTCATAGAAACATATGGAGAACATGGGAGGAGCGTTGCGGGACGATATGAGGAAGGCGTGGCGTGCATAGCGTCTGTTGCTGTCGTCCCGCCCCATCACCTCCTGAAGCACGAGAATGCTGTCCTTATGGAGAGAACAGGCAAGCAAAAGGGTCAGGAGCATCAGGGTATTGGGATGTGAGAAGAGAAGGTGTGATGCACACCTTGTCACCGCACTCCACTGTTCTCAGCCCTTCCCACTCACTTGTGTCTTGTGCTCGTTCGAAATGCTGATCTCGTACATCCCAAGGCCCACTCGCATGAATGGGACAGAATGCCTCCTCGTTACTCCTTTTCACCGCACTCCATCCCCCCAGATTCCTTCCCACTCACTTGTGTGTCTTGTGTTCGTTGCCAATGCTGATCTCGCACATCCCAAGGCCCACTCGCATGGATGGGAGAGAATGCCTCCGCGTTACTCCTTTTCACCGCACTACATCCCCCCAGATTCCTTCCCACTCACTTGTGTGTCTTGTGCTCGTTATGGATGCTAATCTCGTACATCCCAAGGCCTACTCGCGTGCACGAGAAATCCCCTGATCCACGAACCACCGACCCATCCGCTGCTATTGTGGCTCCTATAAGGCTGGGAGCGAGGGCAGACGGGAACGAGACAAGGGGGTGGGGGAGAAGGAGAGGAGGAGGGAAGACAGGAGGGTCAGGAATGCTGATCTCGTACATCCCAAGGCCCAGCCTCCTGCACGAGAACACCCCTGCTCCACGCACCACAGACCCATCCGCTGCTATCGTGGCTCCTATCAGGCTGGGGGGGAGGGGAAGAGGAAAGAGGGAAGGAAAGAGAGGAAAGAGAGGGAGGAGGGAGGGGGGGGAAGAGAGGTGGTCGAACAATGCTAATCCCGCCAAGGCCCAACCTTCTGCACGAGAACACCCCTGCTACACGCACCACCGACCCATCCGCTGTTATAGTTGCTCCTATAAGCCTGAAATAGTAGAAGGGGAGAGAGGAAGACAAACTATGTGAAACACATGCTATGGTGCCCCATCAGTGCTACTCTACCCCACTCGCACACACAACTGATTACATTTGAGTCACTTTTGAGATTTTTTTTGAGGGGGGAGAGGGAAGACGGAGGTGGGGGGAAGTGAATGCATGTGAGAACCCATGCTCCCCTGCTCTGCTCCACACACCACTGACCCATCCGCTGCTATCGTGGCTCCTAACAGCATGGGGAGAGGGAGGGGGGGAGAGGGAATGCCGGGCATTCCCACACGCGGGGCGCGAACATGTGCTCTTGGCGGGCTCTCCACTCCTATCGTTATGGTATCAGCAGCACATGTCGGGCTAGAGAAACAGTAGGGCAGCTGATAGGGCCTCACCCAGTGGCAGAGAAGGGGACGTAGAGGAATGCGAACATGTGCTCCTGACTCTCCACCAGCTCTGTCACATCCCCAAACGCATCTTCTCGTGCTTGAATGCGCCACCCACGACCACTGGTGGATGATAGGAGGGGCAGGTGGGGAGGAGCAACGAGGGGACAAACAGGTAAGCAAGCAACGAGGGGACAACGAGGGGACAATCTCTCACTCGCACACTCCACCAGCTCTGTCACATCGCCAAACGCATCTTCTCGTGCTTGAATGCGCCACCCACGACCACTGGTGGATGATAGGAGGGGCAGGTGGGGAGGAGCAACGAGGGGACAAACAGGTAAGCAAGCAACGAGGGGACAACGAGGGGACAATCTCTCACTCGCACACTCCACCAGCTCTGTCACATCGCCAAACGCATCTTCTCGTGCTTGAATGCGCCACCCACGACCACTGGTGGATGATAGGAGGGGCAGGTGGGGAGGAGCAACGAGGGGACAAACAGGTAAGCAAGCAACGAGGGGACAACGAGGGGACAATCTCTCACTCGCACACTCCACCAGCTCTGTCACATCGCCAAACGCATCTTCTCGTGCTTGAATGCGCCACCCACGACCACTGGTGGATGATAGGAGGGGCAGGTGGGGAGGAGCAACGAGGGGACAAACAGGTAAGCAAGCAACGAGGGGACAACGAGGGGACAATCTCTCACTCGCACACTCCACCAGCTCTGTCACATCGCCAAACGCATCTTCTCGTGCTTGAATGCGCCACCCACGACCACTGGTGGATGATAGGAGGGGCAGGTGGGGAGGAGCAACGAGGGGACAAACAGGTAAGCAAGCAACGAGGGGACAACGAGGGGACAATCTCTCACTCGCACACTCCACCAGCTCTGTCACATCCCCAAACGCATCTTCTCGTGCTTGAATGCGCCACCCACGACCACTGGTGGATGATAGGAGGGGCAGGTGGGGAGGAGCAACGAGGGGACAAACAGGTAAGCAAGCAACGAGGGGACAACGAGGGGACAATCTCTCACTCGCACACTCCACCAGCTCTGTCACATCGCCAAACGCATCTTCTCGTGCTTGAATGCGCCACCCACGACCACTGGTGGATGATAGGAGGGGCAGGTGGGGAGGAGCAACGAGGGGACAAACAGGTAAGCAAGCAACGAGGGGACAACGAGGGGACAATCTCTCACTCGCACACTCCACCAGCTCTGTCACATCGCCAAACGCATCTTCTCGTGCTTGAATGCGCCACCCACGACCACTGGTGGATGATAGGAGGGGCAGGTGGGGAGGAGCAACGAGGGGACAAACAGGTAAGCAAGCAACGAGGGGACAACGAGGGGACAATCTCTCACTCGCACACTCCACCAGCTCTGTCACATCGCCAAACGCATCTTCTCGTGCTTGAATGCGCCACCCACGACCACTGGTGGATGATAGGAGGGGCAGGTGGGGAGGAGCAACGAGGGGACAAACAGGTAAGCAAGCAACGAGGGGACAACGAGGGGACAATCTCTCACTCGCACACTCCACCAGCTCTGTCACATCGCCAAACGCATCTTCTCGTGCTTGAATGCGCCACCCACGACCACTGGTGGATGATAGGAGGGGCAGGTGGGGAGGAGCAACGAGGGGACAAACAGGTAAGCAAGCAACGAGGGGACAACGAGGGGACAATCTCTCACTCGCACACTCCACCAGCTCTGTCACATCCCCAAACGCATCTTCTCGTGCTTGAATGCGCCACCCACGACCACTGGTGGATGATAGGAGGGGCAGGTGGGGAGGAGCAACGAGGGGACAAACAGGTAAGCAAGCAACGAGGGGACAACGAGGGGACAATCTCTCACTCGCACACTCCACCAGCTCTGTCACATCGCCAAACGCATCTTCTCGTGCTTGAATGCGCCACCCACGACCACTGGTGGATGATAGGAGGGGCAGGTGGGGAGGAGCAACGAGGGGACAAACAGGTAAGCAAGCAACGAGGGGACAACGAGGGGACAATCTCTCACTCGCACACTCCACCAGCTCTGTCACATCGCCAAACGCATCTTCTCGTGCTTGAATGCGCCACCCACGACCACTGGTGGATGATAGGAGGGGCAGGTGGGGAGGAGCAACGAGGGGACAAACAGGTAAGCAAGCAACGAGGGGACAACGAGGGGACAATCTCTCACTCGCACACTCCACCAGCTCTGTCACATCGCCAAACGCATCTTCTCGTGCTTGAATGCGCCACCCACGACCACTGGTGGATGATAGGAGGGGCAGGTGGGGAGGAGCAACGAGGGGACAAACAGGTAAGCAAGCAACGAGGGGACAACGAGGGGACAATCTCTCACTCGCACACTCCACCAGCTCTGTCACATCGCCAAACGCATCTTCTCGTGCTTGAATGCGCCACCCACGACCACTGGTGGATGATAGGAGGGGCAGGTGGGGAGGAGCAACGAGGGGACAAACAGGTAAGCAAGCAACGAGGGGACAACGAGGGGACAATCTCTCACTCGCACACTCCACCAGCTCTGTCACATCGCCAAACGCATCTTCTCGTGCTTGAATGCGCCACCCACGACCACTGGTGGATGATAGGAGGGGCAGGTGGGGAGGAGCAACGAGGGGACAAACAGGTAAGCAAGCAACGAGGGGACAACGAGGGGACAATCTCTCACTCGCACACTCCACCAGCTCTGTCACATCCCCAAACGCATCTTCTCGTGCTTGAATGCGCCACCCACGACCACTGGTGGATGATAGGAGGGGCAGGTGGGGAGGAGCAACGAGGGGACAAACAGGTAAGCAAGCAACGAGGGGACAACGAGGGGACAATCTCTCACTCGCACACTCCACCAGCTCTGTCACATCCCCAAACGCATCTTCTCGTGCTTGAATGCGCCACCCACGACCACTGGTGGATGATAGGAGGGGCAGGTGGGGAGGAGCAACGAGGGGACAAACAGGTAAGCAAGCAACGAGGGGACAACGAGGGGACAATCTCTCACTCGCACACTCCACCAGCTCTGTCACATCCCCAAACGCATCTTCTCGTGCTTGAATGCGCCACCCACGACCACTGGTGGATGATAGGAGGGGCAGGTGGGGAGGAGCAACGAGGGGACAAACAGGTAAGCAAGCAACGAGGGGACAACGAGGGGACAATCTCTCACTCGCACACTCCACCAGCTCTGTCACATCCCCAAACGCATCTTCTCGTGCTTGAATGCGCCACCCACGACCACTGGTGGATGATAGGAGGGGCAGGTGGGGAGGAGCAACGAGGGGACAAACAGGTAAGCAAGCAACGAGGGGACAACGAGGGGACAATCTCTCACTCGCACACTCCACCAGCTCTGTCACATCCCCAAACGCATCTTCTCGTGCTTGAATGCGCCACCCACGACCACTGGTGGATGATAGGAGGGGCAGGTGGGGAGGAGCAACGAGGGGACAAACAGGTAAGCAAGCAACGAGGGGACAACGAGGGGACAATCTCTCACTCGCACACTCCACCAGCTCTGTCACATCCCCAAACGCATCTTCTCGTGCTTGAATGCGCCACCCACGACCACTGGTGGATGATAGGAGGGGCAGGTGGGGAGGAGCAACGAGGGGACAAACAGGTAAGCAAGCAACGAGGGGACAACGAGGGGACAATCTCTCACTCGCACACTCCACCAGCTCTGTCACATCCCCAAACGCATCTTCTCGTGCTTGACTGCGCCACCCACGACCACTGGTGGATGATAGGAGGGGCAGGTGGGGAGGAGCAACGAGGGGACAAACAGGTAAGCAAGCAACGAGGGGACAACGAGGGGACAATCTCTCACTCGCACACTCCACCAGCTCTGTCACATCCCCAAACGCATCTTCTCGTGCTTGAATGCGCCACCCACGACCACTGGTGGATGATAGGAGGGGCAGGTGGGGAGGAGCAACGAGGGGACAAACAGGTAAGCAAGCAACGAGGGGACAACGAGGGGACAATCTCTCACTCGCACACTCCACCAGCTCTGTCACATCCCCAAACGCATCTTCTCGTGCTTGAATGCGCCACCCACGACCACTGGTGGATGATAGGAGGGGCAGGTGGGGAGGAGCAACGAGGGGACAAACAGGTAAGCAAGCAACGAGGGGACAACGAGGGGACAATCTCTCACTCGCACACTCCACCAGCTCTGTCACATCCCCAAACGCATCTTCTCGTGCTTGAATGCGCCACCCACGACCACTGGTGGATGATAGGAGGGGCAGGTGGGGAGGAGCAACGAGGGGACAAACAGGTAAGCAAGCAACGAGGGGACAACGAGGGGACAATCTCTCACTCGCACACTCCACCAGCTCTGTCACATCCCCAAACGCATCTTCTCGTGCTTGAATGCGCCACCCACGACCACTGGTGGATGATAGGAGGGGCAGGTGGGGAGGAGCAACGAGGGGACAAACAGGTAAGCAAGCAACGAGGGGACAACGAGGGGACAATCTCTCACTCGCACACTCCACCAGCTCTGTCACATCCCCAAACGCATCTTCTCGTGCTTGAATGCGCCACCCACGACCACTGGTGGATGATAGGAGGGGCAGGTGGGGAGGAGCAACGAGGGGACAAACAGGTAAGCAAGCAACGAGGGGACAACGAGGGGACAATCTCTCACTCGCACACTCCACCAGCTCTGTCACATCCCCAAACGCATCTTCTCGTGCTTGAATGCGCCACCCACGACCACTGGTGGATGATAGGAGGGGCAGGTGGGGAGGAGCAACGAGGGGACAAACAGGTAAGCAAGCAACGAGGGGACAACGAGGGGACAATCTCTCACTCGCACACTCCACCAGCTCTGTCACATCCCCAAACGCATCTTCTCGTGCTTGAATGCGCCACCCACGACCACTGGTGGATGATAGGAGGGGCAGGTGGGGAGGAGCAACGAGGGGACAAACAGGTAAGCAAGCAACGAGGGGACAACGAGGGGACAATCTCTCACTCGCACACTCCACCAGCTCTGTCACATCCCCAAACGCATCTTCTCGTGCTTGAATGCGCCACCCACGACCACTGGTGGATGATAGGAGGGGCAGGTGGGGAGGAGCAACGAGGGGACAAAC